CCCCCCCCCCCCCCCCCACACACAGACACGTACGCATGCAGCGCACCAAGCCATGTGTATGTGTGTGTGTGTGTGTGTGTATGTGTGTGTGTCTGAGCAGCACTCTGCTGAGGTGGAGAGACTGCGGGCCGAGTTGGACAAGTTGACGGAGGATCACGGGAGCGAAGTCGCCAAGGTGAGCTGGAATGGTGCTGGGAGGGAGTCGGTGAGGGAATTGGGGTGTGGGTGGGCCGGTGGGTGCACTGCACTGCACTGATTGCTCTGGAGAGAGAGAGAGAGATGGATGGATGGATGGATGATGGATTGTGTGTGTCTGTGTGTGTGTTGGTTCAGCTCAAGTCGGGGTTCGAGCAGGTCCAGGGTGACAAGGACCGCGAGCTCGACAGACGCCAAAGAGACATCGACCAGGTGAGTGGATCATGAAACGAGCGAGGCGGGCACACCCACAAACTAACAGACAGACAGACAGACATCCACACACACACACAAATCCCTCCCTCCCTCCCGTTTTTGTCTCTGTCTGCCTCGGTCAGGCTGAGGGCCTTTTGCAGACGACTTGCCAAAAGAGGACACTCTCAAAAATCGCTGCTTACATTTTATATGGAACGAGCCGTGTCTCTTACCATCTGTGTGTGTGTGTGTGTGTGTGGTTTGTGAGCAGTACTCGGCTGAGATTGGCCGCCCGCGCGACGAGATGACCAGGATGAGCGAGGAGTACAGGACGGAGTTGGGCCAGGTGAGTTGGAATGGTGCAGGGAGGGAGGGAGTCAGTGAGTGGATGGATGGATGGATGGGTGCACTGATTGTCGACGGCATTTCATGCCTGCGTCTGTGTGTGTGTTGGTTCAGGTGCAGTCGACGGTTGAGGACAAGGACCGGCAGCTGGAGCAACGCAAATCGGACATCGACCAAGTGAGTGGATCATGAGACGAGCGAGGCGGGCGCACACACCCATACACTCACAGACATACATCAACACACACACAAATCCCTCTGTCCCTCTGTCCCTCCCTCCCTCCCTCTCTCTCGCTGTGTCTGTCTGTCGGTCTGTGTGCGTGTCGGTGCAGGTTGAAGGTGTCTTGACGACAACCAGGGAGCAGCTTCGACAGGCCCATGAAGACAGACAACGCGTCAGTCAGGGAAATGCCAACACACAGACACGCACGCACGCAGCACACCAAGCCATCTCTCTCTCTCTCTCTGTGTGTGTGTGTGTGTGTGTGAGCAGTACGGGGCTGAGATCGAGAGATTGCGCAGTGCGTTGGCCAAGTCGTCCGAGGGGTACAGCAGCGCGATGAACAAGGTGAGTTGGAATTTTGCTGGGAGTCAGTGAGGGAGTCAGTGAGGGAATGGGCCGGTGGGTGCACTGCACTGATTGCTCTGGAGAGAGAGAGATGGATGGATGGGTGCACTGATTGTCAACGGCATTTCATGTCGGTGTGTGTGTGTGTGTGTGCTTCAGAGGCGCCGTCCCCAGATACGCATCAGAGGCGGGAAAGAACCCTACCAACTCCACGCCGCACAGATGTCATGATGCTCCCCACACCCCATGTCACAAGGCAAACGTCTCACGCCGGCAGACACCGGGCAACGATCGAGGTAATTGGACGTTCTGTACAGATTCGACCTGGCTTTGCGCCTTATAGCCCGCCGCGCCACACGGAGGTCTCCATGCCCTCGAGACAGACACGCGGGCGCCGCAGACACAGATGGCTGCCCGTTCCTCGAGGCCAGCAATCCAGGTAAGCATTGGGCACACACACAGCTGGCGAAAGGTGAATTGTGTATGTTTGCATGGCAGACCCCGTTCGGGGAGATTCGACCTGAGTTGCGCTTTAGGGAGAACGGCGGGCGCAATATGCCGATAAGGGTAACTAAGACCAGAAGCACTCTCTGTCTGATAAACGTTTGTTGATTCGTTGGTTGTTCCTCTTATCAGGGCTGATAGTGATGGCACCATGGAGGCGTCCACTGGCCGAGAGGTGCCTGTGGCGTGCGGTTGGATTGAATTCCGTGGCGATTGCTCGGCGATTGCTCGGGGACGGGCGTGAGTGTTGGAGCCGGTGTGACGCATCTGAGTGTGGGCGATGATGTGTACGGTGTGAGTGTGTAGTGTGCAGCTGTGATGACTGACTGTTTTCCTTTTCGGACATTCATGTGCGTAGGATGGAGGTGTCATGTGTACTGTGTGCTGACACGTGTGTGTTGGAGGACGATCCGATGCAACATCAGACCGAGCTGGGCGAGAACATGCCGATCCGGGTAATTGAGACCAGAAGGAATGTGTAATCGACCTTCGTTCATGTGTTGTTTCTTTTATCAACCAGGGACGTGCTGACTGACTGACGGGAGGGGCGGCTGCTAGGCGGGGCGGCTGCGTATGCTGGCTGCTGTGGGTGCGCCTTTTTTTTCGGCTTGTGTGAGGTCGATGTGCTTGTGTGACGTCGATGTGCTGTGAAATCAATTGCGCTGACGGCGGGTGCGTGTGATTTCGTGTGTGTATGACTGGGATTTCGGACCTACATGTATGAGCTGGGCGCTGGGAGAGAAAAGGGGGGAGATGCCTGACCGATCCGATGCATACACCACACTCTGATAATCGATTGGTGTGCGCCAGATACACAATGCGTGGGCTTCGCTTTCATCTGTAGAATGGCTGCCCACGTTTCATATCTGAATGAGCCGTGTCTCTCTGGTGCGCGTGTCTGTGTTGATGCTGACGGTGTGTGTATCTGTGTATGCCCTGTGCAGCTGTGATGACTGACTGACGTGCTTTGCTTTGCTTTACGGACATAAATTGTCGGGAGGATGCAGAAGGTCCGATTATTCTAGGTACTAGTCAGGTGTCTGAACACAACAACCACTGCGAGCGTTAATGCCACCCATCCCCGACCGACCGAGCCCTTCTCTCTCAGCCAGCCCAACAATAAAAGAGAGAAAAGGCAACCTTTGCACACATATTCACAACGATAAACCCACCAATCCGTTTGTCCGTCAGCCTGTCCCTCCCCCATCCATCCACTCATCCCTCACTGTCTGTTTGTTGAATCATGCCATCACATCATGCACGGCGCAAACCCAGCCGCCCCACACACGGCCCCGAACGGCGGGCAGCATGAGGCCTTCCCCGGCCTGGCCCGCCGGCACCGCCGCCCCCCACACCCCCGATGCCCACACTGCGCCGGGCAGCACGCAGCTGTGCCCGACTTGGCATCCTCAGCGAATATGCCGCCCAGGTACCTCACGCACACCCCTTCTGGCTCATGTGGGATCGGCAGTGCCTGTGTCTGGTTGCTGGCTGTCGATGTGGACGTTGATGTGATGGCGATGGCGCTGTCTGGTAGTGCTGGCAGCTGCTGCGGCTGTTTGGGCTGTTTGCTTGGCGGTGGTGGGCGTGAGGCGGTCCAGTAGAGGGCCCACGACCGAGATAAACCGGTGTCTAGCGGCACGGACCTCAGCACCGTGTAGGCATCGGCCCTGCAGGCAGAATCACACACAACACACGCGTAAGCAACACACACAGAAACACACACACAATGATGGCCAGCTGTGGGGGGCGGGCGATGACACACTAAGACACTCAAGACTCACTTACTTGTTGAGTGTGGCGTAGTTGAGCATGAGTATGGACGTCCATGTGGTCCACTCGGCGGCCTTCAGGATGGGCAGGTCACTCAGCCGGTCGGTCCACTCGTGGTACACAAACTCTCTGGTGCGCATCAGAGGCAGCGCCGGCGTCACTGGCAGCATCTACAGGGACGAACGGCATCATTATCACACGTGTGTGTGTGGTGAGGTTCGCTTTCTCCCTGCCTGTCTGTCCGTCCGTCTGCCTCCCTCTGTGGTCGCTAACTCACCTGTATGCCGTGGATGTATTCGGTGTTGTCACCGAACCAAGTGGCGTAGTCGACCTTGTTCTCGAACAATATACCGGACACACGATTCTTGACGAAGGCCGCTGGGTGGTTGCCGTTGTCGGGACTCATCAGGAAGTACTCGCGAATTGACGCACTGCACCCGTTCGTGGATGGATGGCACACACATGGCTCTCTATATCTCTCTGTGTGTGTGTGAGTATATATGTGTGTGTCCTTCCTCCCTGCCTACCTGGCCATGTGGAGCATGGTGGTGCCCAGCGCTTCAAGGGCGCTGTCGCCCATGACCTTGCCCCACATGCACAGCCCGAAATGCCAATTCATCTCCTCCGACACACTCTCGGCATCCTTACCTACAACACACACACACACACGAATGACGTGCGGTGCGGGGGCAGGAAGGCTCACCATCGTTTGATGGGATGATGCCGCGAGACCACGAGTGTCCGTCCATCCACGAGAAGCTGCGGAAGGGGGGGAAGTGGGGGTCGTCGTCGGCGGAGGTCGACACGTCGCGGATGAGCGTCTCCACAAACGCCTGATGCACACAGGCAGACAGACAGACAGACAGAAACAAACAGCCCCCACACCACATGAGGCCATTGATGGTCTCTTCCACTCCATTCGCTCACTTTGTTGGTCTTGTTGGCGGCCCACTGCGGCTGCATGTACGCCAGGACAGCCGCGGACACCACAAAGTAGCCAACTGCGATGCGATCGATGGATGCGGTGCACACATACACACACGCACACACGCTAATGCAGCCACACCCCTTCTGCAGACCACATGCTCACTCACAGTGGTAGTGGTGATCGTTGTAGAGAGCGTTGCCGAAGTCGGTCGATATCATGTCGTCCAAGTCACCAGACAGCCCTCCAGAGCTCACCACGCCGCCCCAAGACTCGTCGTACCGCAGCGCAGGCGGCCCCTTCTCGCACTCGCCGTGGTTCACCACACACCCGAGCGCACGCTCCAGCTTCCCGACACACCCACTGGTGACAGCGGCTGACTTGCCGAGCAGCTTGGTGGCAATGAGGCAGAGGTAGGCGAGTTTCTGGACCTGTTTGCCGGTCCAATAGTAGTCGGGGAGCATGGCGTGGAGCATGACGTCGTAGGCGGCGATGTCTTGCTCGACGATGGCCTTGATCTCTGCCTGATGCTCGGCGGTCATGTGCTCGTCGGGGGGGAGAAAGCCGATACTGGACGCTGGGACCTATGTGCCCACACACGCACGTTCACAGAGGGAGGAAGAATGGCGTCTGTTCTGTTCTCTCCCCCCCCAGTTGCTTACCCCCTTGACGCGCATCGTCCATTCATTGCCCACGACGGCCGTCATGCTGCCCTTAGTCGGCCCCTCTGTGACGTACTTGGTCACACGGGCACCATCACTCGCGTCGACACCGCTCTTGACCTGGTGGGGGAAGGCCATGTGCAGCAGCTGGGGGCTCTTCCTCTCTGCGCCGCTCCCCGCCTCACGGCTGCCCGTCTTCCATCTAAAGCGGTAACCGTACATGTCTTCCTCTGTGTCGGGCGCGAAGACGTCCAGGTGTGCGCCGAGTGGCCACACACCGACGTGCTTGTCGAGAAGCCGCTCTCTCTGGGGGACGGTCAGCCGCTGGACGGTCGATGGCATCGGCTGCAGCTCGGGTGACGACGGCGTGTCGGCGAGCAGCGCCGCCCTCACTGTGCCGCTGAAGGACCTGCTCCCCTGGATGCTCTTGCTCTTGTCGTCGTAGACCAGCTGGAATGGGGTATTCGGTGCGGCATCTTGTTTCTCCTCAATGAACCAGAGCTTCCACACCTGTTGGTTGTGCGTCAGCTGCACCAGGGCTGTTGTCACGTGCTCAGCCGACGCTGCATCCGCCGCCCTCACAGAGACGTCCACGTCAATGTCTTCAGGCCAGGTTGGCATGCCCTCAATCGCCACCAGCTGTCCGCTCTCGTCTCTCTGCGCCGCCCAGACGACGGGGAACAGCAGCATGAGGCGTGGGGTGACATCGCCGCCGCTGTATACAGCCGTGATGTAGGCCATCCCCTGGACGATCGGAAATGTCACCCCTCCCTCCTTGATCTTCGAGCGTCTCAGCTGCAGATGGGCGCCAAACATGTCGTAGTCAACGACCTCCTTTGTCTGCAGGCACGTTTGAACAACACACATAAGAGCTGCAGCTCGCGTGTTGTGCATTCAATGGCCTGGCCAGCTCGCTCACCGTGAGTGCCTCTGACACGGCGAAGGCGATTGACGGCTCGAAGGGCGTGTAGTAGAACTGAATGCCATCAGGCGCGAGCCGGCCGGGGCCCAGGTGCTTGTACTGATGCGAAACCAACAGCTGCCAATCCACACAACAGAACACACACATCAGCTGAGTAGTGTGTAACCTCTCACTCGCCACCCGAGCGCAGACTCACCCGGTATCCGCCGCCCGTGGGATCATCCTTCTGGCATTTGACGACAAACGGCATTGCATGCACAGGGCTGTCGCCATCGCCGATCACCAGCTGCGACCAGAACTTGTTGGTGTGGATAGGCCGGCCGCCTTTCACGCCCTCCCCCTCTGCCTCTGCCTCAGCCCGGCCCGAGAGCGTGTCGGCAGCACTGACGAACTGCGGGACGGGCACGGCTTGGTCCGGTGACCTGCGGAAGGGCTTGAACATGGACGCGTCCGGCGCACCAGTCGCCGCCCCTGTTGCTGGCTTGCCCAAAACGGCTCCCTTTTTGGCCGGTTTGGTCTTCTTATCCTTCTCTGTCTTCTCTTTCTTCTCACCATCGCCGCTCTTCTCGTCTGCCGCTGCTGGCAGTAGGGTCAGTATCTCCTCTGCGTGTCCATCAGCCGAGGGTTGTGTGTCTGTCCTGGGGCGGGCAATGCGTGCATCGACGCGCACGCGAGGCCCCAGCAGCTCTCTTGCGTCGGGGGAAGCACCTGAAGCAATCAGATTCACCCATGCATCATCCCCGGAGGGGTTGTTTTGCCAAGTTGTGTTTGCGCACGTACGTGTGTCGCTTACTGATCTGGCCGACGCATACAACAGCCAGTAGGAGGCCGAGTGTGGTGGCCGCCTTGGAGAGGCCTGCCGCCCCATTCATGTACGCATCGACACGCTGTTCCCCGCCGCAACGGCTGGTCTTCTGATCGCCCATCTTCGCCGCGTTGCTTGGGGCGAATGAGCACGAGCGGGAAGGTCCGCACCGCAGCAGAATGGATCGGCATCCTTCCCTTCCCTCCCTTCCCGTCGCTCGCGTACTCGCAACACCCAGCTGCACCCAGAGGTGAGATGCTTTCGACGACGTTCTCTGTCTGTGCGTATATTCTGTGCTGCTGGCTTTCAGACGTGCTTTCAGTACTTGAAGCTTCTCGTCATCGTCGCCGCTTTGGCCGCCAGGCACAGATCTTGTGCGAATGGGGCGAGAAAGAGAAGAAGCAAGTGGTCACCATGATGATGGCTGCTGGGCCTAGTAAAGATGTGCCCTTGCCGATGCGGATCTGACTCGTTCGGAGCGGAAAAATCATGATCATCCATGAGGTGAGTGCGAGGCGGGGGGGGGAGGGGGGTGGCTGGCAGTGCCATGCAGGCTGCGGCGTGGCGATATCATGATGACCCAATCAATGAACTGTATTAGCTTCAGACGGCTCATGCCGCTGGTTACAATATCAATTATCCCTGGCTGATCATGCCATGCACTCGACACTGACTGTTCCTTCGTGCGTGATGAATGCACACATGCAGTACTTAACTTACTGTTCGCTGTCTGTCTGTCTGTCTCTGTCTGTTTGCAGGTTTGTGTTGTCTGAGGAAGGGAAGAGGCTGGACAAACACAGCCGCGGCTGATTGGCGTGACTGACTGGACACATGTGCGTGGCCGATTGATAGAGTCTTCTGGTCTGCCATCTCGAGAGTTCCTGCGTGCGTGTTGATATGAAGGCGAGTGCCAGTGTTGATAATGAGCGAGAGATGCAGACAAGTCGCGCAGGTGAGCGATGGGATTGCGGTGTGTGTATGCTGCTGCGTGGCCAGAGAGAGAGAGGGAGAGACAGACAGACAAACAAAGAGACAGACAAACCGGCCCTTTACGTCATTGCGCCCACGCTGCAGAACACACACACACACGCACAGTTGAGATGAATGTCTCACAGTCTACCCAGGGATGACCCTCACCTGCTGACTCGCCCACTCACTCACTCATCTCATGCCACACGCGCCAATCGTCTAGCTCTCCATCCATTTGTAATTGCATACAGTACACATGCCCATCGACGTGTGTGCAGTCACGTCACACAGACCGACACAAGAAATGTATGACGTACGCAGAGAGACACTCCAAGGAAGTAAACGGGACAGAGAGAGGGAGTCAGCTGGAGAGACAGAAATGGGCAAAGCAACGATTCGCATGAGACAAGAAACGAGAAAATCAAAATCAACGCCGCACAGAGGCAACTCCCACAAAGGGACAAGGGAAAGTAAACCGATTCGCTTGAGAAAAGAAACGGGAAACGCAAGACGCTGTGTCTTCGCGGCGCGTGTCTCTCTTCCATCGTGGATCAGCAAGGTAATGACTCATTGCTACTGCTCGAGACAGAGATGCCCTCTGGCGCATCGTCGCCTTCAGCCGCAGCTGCAGGGATAGAACACGGCCGCTCCGACCAGTGAGTCGGGCCGCTCATATCGCGACTCGGTGATGGGGAAGGTTGGGCCGGCGGCCACAGGACCGGCGAGCACTTCCGTTCCAGCCATGTGCTGTCCCTGACATAGGCGTGCCCGTGCTCAGCACTGTCATGTCTTTGTGGCTGCGCCTTCCGGTGTTCGTCCCGGCTGCCAGTCTTGGCGGAATCAACATTCAGATGATAGAAGTCGCTGATGGTGCTGCAAGAAGCAAAGCTGCCTCGTCTGATCCGTCCTGGTGTCCCCTGCTCTCCGCCGCTCGGTGCATGTTTGTAGGGCACCCGGCCGCCTGCTTCGAGCGGGCCAGCTTCCCCTCTGCCGTCTGCTCTCTTCCACGGCAGCACTCCGGCGGCGAGGGCTTCAGAGGCGGAAGAGTCCATTCCCTCGTCGGATCGAGGGGACGTTGGTCCGTCATTTGCGGCACCGTGACTGTCCTCGTCTCGCCCATCGTCCCCGCCACCATGCCCGTGTGTGAAGCTGCGACTGCGAAGCGCGCGGATGCGCGCGAGGTTTTCACTGCCGCCGGCGCGATCGGGGGGGTTAAGGGTGGGAATTGTGTGGTGTATGTGGCCCTGGCCGGCGTGGTGCAGCAGGTGGTCGTACACGTGGTCGAACTCGGCCAGAGAAATGCGCCGGGAGAGCCTACGGCGGGTAGTGGTCGGCCGGCTCTCGACGCCAGAAATACTCGGCCTGAAACATCCATGATAGAGACATCATCATCGCGGTCTGTTGGTCGATAGGCGCCTTGTGTACCGCCGCGTTTCGAACATGTCGATGAAAGGCAGCACCTCCACCTGGACACATACACAAGGGCTGGTGTTTGCAGGAAATAAGGGAAACCACACACACAAGGGCACATCGCAGACTCAGCACCGGACCTGGACAATTGCCAATGCCTCGGCAATGCTTTTCAGGTCGCATCTATGCAGCCGATTCATGGCGGCTCTCAAGTACTCCACTCTTGGATCCCGGTCTGAGCACGGGAAAAGGGGCTCTTCCACATGACTTGAAATCATGCTCGAGTCAGGGGGGGGCTGCAGACTGCGCACACTGAAAGCGCTTCTGAGTGCGCCGCCGGCTCCATCCTGCTGTCCGCTGTACTCTCTGAGCGAGGGGAGGCGCTGCGGCTGTCGATGGCTGCCTTTCAGGAACCCAACCACCGCGCATGAGACAGTTGTCATATCTTCCAGAACGCGTTTTACGAAGCTTTCTCGCTTTAAATTCAGCGGGCCACTTTTCCAGTTCCAAAGAAGGGAATACCAAAGTGCCGCGAACGTGCCGGCAATACCGAAGACCTGGAGGCATCACAATGAACCTGCACCAAGAAGCACGGACGGCTTCCAGTGTCTGTGCTGATGGTTACGGCGATGGTCCACGTGACGTTCTGGAAGAATGGGAGCGAGCTCTGCTTATGCTCAGCCGAGTACGCACCAACCCTGATCATCAGTGGATGAACCATCGATTGGCTGGCGATAGATTGTTGCGTTGTGGTAAGCTCACATCAGCAAAATCAGGAGCAGAATATAAAACAGCGTCTCAAGGTAGTTACCTGGTGCAAAAAAACGACAAAAAAGGACACGCATGACCAGCCGACCCCGTCTGTCGCTTACTTGCTGGTGTCCTCCACGGCCAAACCAGCAAATGGGCGACAAGGGAAAATATGATGATCAGAGAAGAGATGAAGCACTCCAGGGATCCATCGTGCCACAGAAATAAGGGCACTGCTGCAAGCAGCGTGTTGCGCAACAGATGCACGAGCATCCACCAGTTTTTGTCCTGCAGCCGCGGTTTCACAATTAGAAATCCATTGCTTTGTCCCCCATATAGTCGTGGGCTCACCGCTCTGCAGGACTCGAACATGTACCGAAATCTCACCCTGAAGGCGGCACTATGGTGCCAGATCTGAGGAGCTAGGTATAGGATTACACTGTAGAAGACCAGCACTCCCACGACATACACAAGACCCCCGACCACGCCCAGTGGGAAGAGCTGCGTCCACCACACTCCTTCATAACATAACGCCTGATGACATGACCGAACTCTCCTGAATACCCATATTTGCATCCGTTGTCTGGCGTGGAGGTGAGCGCATACGTGCGGCATGTGGATCATGGAAAAGCGCCCATTTGGGTGTTTAAAACACTGAAAGATGATCGTGCAGGACACGACCAGAGGTATGTACATCGTGTACACCTGAATGACAAAACAAAGACGTGAATGCAAGGGCCGCGGGGCTCACGTCTCCCATAAGTCGGACCATCATCACGATGGACTGTGTAAGGGACAAGACAGTAAGCAATCACACTGAAGTGCATGGATACGTCACTTGCTGCGCGGGTGCCTCGTTACATTGCAGAGGCGATTGCCGTTCATCGGTGACCACTCCACACAGGCGTAGCACAGATTCATCGTTGCACTTCCCAGCCGAGCTGGCTGCGCCTTCGCCCAGCGGGCTAAGTCTTTGCAGCTCTCGCATTTCCACAGACCTGAAAAGCCGACAAGGGAAGGCATTTGTCAAATCGGAATCGCACTGTAAGAGACGCGTATACATTTTTTGCTGGTGCTCCCAGCTGATTGCAGCCTGGAGGGCCGCTCGTCACCACCGTAGCTGATCGTGAATGCCGGGGCACTTAGCACCGGACGTAGCTCGGTGGTTTGAGTCGGACCAGGGTATCTCACAAATATCGATGCGTCTGACTCCTGCCACTTCTGACTTTCGCTGCGAGAGGGCCTGGCACCTAAGAGCAGCCTCTTGAAGGCATAGGGGATGAGCGACAGTGCCCACATGAGGATGAAAATAGAGCATATCATCAGCGGGAGCAGCAGCCGCAGCAAATAGTATCTCAGTGGGGTAAGCTCAAATGGCAACCAGCATTGAGGCCTCAGGTGGCGAAGGTCGAAATCAAAAAGCCCTCCTACAGAAACGCGCACACGTGCACGCAAACAGTATAGGCACCCATCTGCGGTTTTCATATGAGATATGTAGACCTGCAGCGATGAACGATGATGTAGGGTCCGGCCACCTGCAAGCCGACAGATAGACGAGAGCACGCCTCCTTTCCGATGCTCAAGCTGCCTCTTACGCGACATTGAATGAGCCGAAGATGCCAATAGTCATGAGGTAGCGGACGGTCAGGGAGAAGACCTGCCCCATACTCTTGATAAGGCTGCCATCCGGTGTGCCACTAGCCCTGGTGACTCTGAACGAGCGAGACATGGCGACCGTGAGTAGATCCTGCTTGTGCTTTGGTTGAGTTGTACTAAATGCAGACCTGTTCACATATACATGGACCATGGCGAAGAGGGCCATAAGTGGAAGCAAGACGAGAGCAGCCCAGGCCATTTGGATGCCTGCAGCTGTCTGGGGGCACGGCTCGCAGACGCCTGAGCACAGGCAGACATTTATATACTGACATGCTGATGATACAGCGAGTCAGCCATCTCACCAACGGCTTTTGAAAAGAATCGCGGCAGGCACCGACCGCATGCAATGCTCGTCTGGTCCACGCCTTCTCTGCAGGCAATTTCGTTCATTGAAGGTCCCTTCAGAGTTCGTGCTGACCTGCAGATTTTGGGGGCCATTGTGGCAGCCTTTGACGCATTCACCTTCTTGATCATTCGCACGTCAAGCGGCCCACCCGGACACGCAGTCCTGGGATGGCACGTATAGATGTCTGCCTTCCACCCTGAGGCGTTTGTTGGCACCCATTCTCGAGTGTCGACCCAATGACCAAGGGAGACGAAGGGCAGGAGGTCGCTGCCGTCACAGTCCAATCCGTTTGGGCATGGCACACACTCCTTGAATCGCTCCTCATCTCTCAACTCAACCGGCTTCTCATACGTGCCCTGCAATAGGGGAGAATACACTCAAGCAGTGAGCTGGCCTCACCTTCTTTATCCTCTCTTACCTGCGGGCAGATGCACCTCTCATCTGATCGTGCGCCGGGATATGGTGTCACACGTACTCCAGGACACTGCTTGCATTCTGATTACAGGAAGGACGAAGAGAGAAGCGGCACATATGCCAGATCCACACCCATCACAAACCTGATCGGCCAGGGCGATCTGAATTCAATTGACAGCAAGACAATGTGACAGCAAGACAGTGTGAATGGATGCAAAAAGATGATCTCTCTCACCTTGGTAGTAGCCCACTTCGCACCTGAACGAAGGAGACACAGGATTTTGCTTTACCGTCATCATGAAAGAGGCTCCCCTTTTTGGCTGACCGCTCGCATTGAATGCTGCCGGACGTGGCTGCAAATGTTCCGGGTTGGCACATCTTGCATGCTCGGCCTCCTTTCGTCTCACTGAAGGTGCCCTGGCACGGAACAATGTCCATGAATCAGTGATGTATCTCGAAGTTTCTGCGAGACTCACTCACAGGGGGGCATATCTCACAGTCGCCGTTGCTTGCCATCACGTAACCCTCCTCGCATTTCCCAAATGCGTTCAAGATCCCTAGCTCTGTAAGAAAAAGACAGGAATGAATCTTTCACACGAGAGACTTTTGCGCTGTCCTTGCCTGTAAGTGTGAGCTGGGCGGAAGCGGAACAAGCAGGATGGAATCGCATCACCTCTGTATCCTCTTCTTTCATGTGTGCAGGCCTTTCTCGCGCCGACATTATCTTACCCGAGGCAAGTGATCATTTTGCGGCAGGGACCACCCTGAAGAGTACGGGCAAGAAACGCTGTGCCTCTATGTCTCGAAGGGAATTGTGTTGACCACCTGCATAGCTGCCTCTTCGTTTCGCCCAGTCTGCGACAGAGCCACTTTTGGCATCTGAGCTGTTCATGAAGAGGAGCGACAAGGCCACTTTCATTGCCAGCCTCTCGGGCACGTGCGGCAGAGCCGACAACGTCCACTCTGACCCACCCAAGAGGACACCATTGATGATTGAATGGACAAGCAGAGGCCTGTATGTGTCCTTGTCACCTGGATAGAGATCGGTACTGATCAAATAAGGGAAATCAAGGTGTTTTCTCTCATGCAACAGCTTCACATCCTCGACATTAATGTTCCCCTCGGCCTCCATCGCCTCCAAAGTGCCCGTACGAATTGTGCCACAGTCGCACTTCCCAGCAAGCACCCCATACACAGTCTACACGGCATGCCACGACCACTGCAGAGAACCGCCTTCTGTGTGTTGTGTTCTGTTTGTCACCTCGTCGTGAGTTCCAAAAAACTCCACCCTTGAAGCATCTTTATACGGGTCAATGCCCTGCGCCACCCAGCCATCATCACCACGACACGGTTCTGGACTGGCTTAGACGTGATCCGTTCAGCTTGCTCCCACTTACCCGTCGGATCATCTCGTGCAGGCCCACAATCCACCCTCCAAAACTTCGACGATGCACTCCACACACCACCCGGTCTGTTTACAGATAAGAGCTCACATAGTAGAGTACTAGCAGCTCAATACAAGATAACCAGAGTTTGCGCACCCCTGCATTCTAGTATTGAGTCAACGGTGAGGTTGCGACGAGTGAAAAGGACAGTCCCGAATGAATTCAAATGGATGCCGAGACTAATGTGAGACACACAGCGATGTCAGCCAAGTGGTGTGTTATGTACATTGAAAGCAAGCGCACACTTCTTGCTTACCGAACCTTTGTCACCGACAAAAGTGGGCGGGTGCTATACATCGTTTGGAACTCCACTAAAAATGAAAATGCACAATCTCCTTATTTCTTGCCGCCGTTGTGTCTCTCTGGCAGACCTGTCATGCCTGTACGTAGGGACATGCAATGTATCTGCGTCATCCTTGTGCAGCATTGCTGCCCACTCATGGCACCTGCCTGGATTGGTGAATACGAAGTCCATAGGTGGTACAGAGTCGCTTCCCGGCGCCTAATAAAAGCAAAGGGGTGACAGTCAGACACCATAGTGTGCGGCGAGAAGACGGGCATACCGCTGCTTCATGGGCGATAGACACAGAGTGATACATTGCGTCAAAATCCAAAGCCACAAGAGAAAACTCGACATCGCACTCATCGCCGACGGCACTGTTAAGGTAATTGTGGAATGTCGCCCGCCACTGGTGCAGTACTTTCTCTTCGCCGCGAAAGGCTATCACGGCCACTGTGACCTGCCTTCTCTCCGTCTCGAAGCTTCCACCTGGATAAGCGTCGCGGACATCGTATGATATTGTGTGCTTTTCTCGCCTTACATTTTTCTCGGGTTGCACGCGACCTTTCTGTCGCCTCGAATGTCAGCTCTGTGCGTATGAGGCCGAGGCACAAAGGAGACATTTGACCGAAGGTATTCCGACTTGGCTGTCTTTCAGTCTCTATGGCGACGCGCGTTGGAGCCGTTTGGTAGCAATCAGTCCTGTTCTTAGAAGACGAAGCCAGGTCGCTTGTAGACACGACGGCTGGCACCGCGTAGGGAAGCAAGAAGGCGTCGGCAGAATCCACTTGGGTATCCGCACGCACATTGTATACGAGGCATTCTTGATCTTGGGCAGAATCCTTGAGGATGAAAAGGACTGCAAGAGACACGCACAGATGGAATCCCGTGCGTGATTCGAGTGCCAAAAGAGGCCCACCAGGCAGCACACTCCCGCACGGATACAAATCAATAAAGCTCCTGATTGAGAGGTCAAGCTTCTCTCCCTGTTTGCGCTTGCACAGACGCCCCAGAGATCGTGTTGCGCTGAATTCGCGGCACCGTCTTGACGCATAGTCAGGGTCATCTTCATCGAGTCCCTCTCCGCTATATATATGAAGCCCTCTTTCTACGTCATAGCTTTCATCGATGCTGTGGAGGCCGTTCACCGTGAAGAGCGTCCCGCCGAAGGGGAATTGGGAGATCAAGAACTGAATCCCGAAAGGCCTCGAAGGTATAATATCGATGGCCCCGCTATGATCCTCTGCGATGTCGTCGTAGATAGGATATATGCTGCTTCTCAAGAGCACAAGAGTCTCCGCGGCTCTGTCAAAGATATGCCGAGGAGGATTCGGGCACGTTGACCTCTCGAGGTGTGCATCGAGGAGGTGTCCCGTGTGACTAAAAGCTGTGTCTTCTTTTACTGGCAAGCCCCATTCAGAAAACGTTTGGGATACCCTTTCGAGCACCTTGAAGCCCCCGTCCGCGTGTAATGCGGTTGCAGCGTCCACGTCCAGATCGAAATCGATAAAGGCAAAGAGGTGTTTGATATGCCTGATACACATGTCGACACCACAGGACACAACGCACACACACACACACACACCGACACGAGCATGTACATCCATCGCGCTTCTCCCCCTTCTTTCTTAACCCCACCTTATGTACATGACATCCGCGCTGCTTCGTTTTCTTGCATTGTTGTCTTCGTCTGAGCCCACATCCTTCCAAGCCCTTACTCCTTCGTACTCGACGTCAAAAACGAATCCCTCATCTTGGGCTAATCGATATGATGCGGTCGCCTTTGTGTCGATTAAAGTGCCAGACACCACAGTATGGGAAACGCCAGATATCACAAAATTCGTTTCTGCGTCTTTGACGATAAGCCAATCCTCCTTTGCGGTCATGTCCTCGACTGCCCCCCATTCAAGGAGAAAGATCGGCAGGTGAGGGTCGGGAAGCCGATGATATCGGCCAAGAAACGCGATGGTCATGCGATCCGCGCTCCTGAAGCTCTTGACCGCTTCTAAAAGCGGGAAGGCTACCCGTTTCTCGAGATTGGGAATGACGCGTGTTGATTCTCGATCAGCCTTGTCGATTAATGCGAACAGCCAACCCAGCGAGATAGCTTCACTGCGGTCCGTAGTATTCCACAGCTGTGGATCACTAGAGCCGCCGGGTATCATGAGCTGGTTCTCGCGCGCCACGGTCCCATTTACAAGTATTGTGATGGAAAAGCTGCTGTCGTTGGACGGATGATTGGTGTCGTTTGTGTCCATCTTCTTGTCTTCCCGCATTTCCTCCGCTTCGGCTTGGCAAGCAAGGTGTGTCCAGGGGAAGGAAACTTCAAGAGAAGGATGATCACTGGACGAATTCCACGCAGCTCGTGTGGGGATGAAAGGTACGCACGCCGCAAAATGTTCCATCTTCTCGTACGTGCCGTTTTCCAAGGGAGGCTTTTGAGTCAGGGAAAACATACAGCATAGCTGCCAAGAAGATTGAGAGACAGATTGGTTGCTTCGTAGACTGCCCCGCAGCACCAGTGAGAGCCCTACAGACGGGAAAGGTAGCTCTTGACTCCTCGTAGACTGCATCTCCTCTGAATGCGTGCCGTCGATAGAGAGCAGGCCGAATAGAAACGATTCACAACCATCAGGCTTTTCCGGTTTGATGTAAAGCCGGTGCAATCGCACCCAGCTTCGAATTTTCATTCCAGCTGAAATCACCACACATACGGAACACACAGCAAAACCGATCCATTTTATCAGCCTTACCCTTGCTGGCATCCCGCTCTTCAGGAAGGATTGGAAGCGCAGGGAACGTCAGTTTGAGGTCCTTTGCTTTGGCTGACGATCTTCTCCCGCTGTTGCTTCTGTTGCTGCTATTCGTCGTCCGCTCCTCTGGACCTCTGTTTTTGTTGCTCACGCGCATGGAACTGAGCAACAGGGGATAAGCTGTGAGTGAATGTATGTGTCCTCTTTCGCTTACAGGCCTCTGTCGCCCGCCAAAAGAGCATATTTTTGATGGGGCTGAGCGGCTTGCTTACTGCGGGCGGCTGATCTCGAGAAGCGGGGAGCCCGAACCACCTTCGTGAAGAGCTGCCTGCTTGAAGCTGCAGCGGCCGGCGCAACAGATGCAAGGGCGGCAAACCAAAGCAAAACATCCATCGTTTCAATCTGTTGAACTTCGTTCTTCCCAGGGGGCCGCTGCGTGGCCCCAAACACAGAGGGACTCGCTACGCTCGCCGCTCCCCGAAATGCATGCAAAGCCCCCCCAAGCTCGCATGCAAGCCCCCACAAGCAACCGAAGGAAGTGCTAGCTTGGCCCCAATTACGGACAAACACTTTGTTTCGTAAGAGCGTGCCACGCTCAGCAAGCTTCGCGAGTCCTGAATGATTGCTGGCCTGCCAGCAGGGGAATCGAGATCCGGAGTTCGCACCCCTCCTCACGATCGTCCAGATCCTTCACCTGCGTTCGTCCATCACCGCAGTCATCTCGACGCAGGAGGGAAAGGTCTCCTTTCTTGCTGGCTGTGTCAATGAGGCTTTTGGTTACGGCTCTTGCCGTAGCTTTTCAATTTGTGATCTTATCTGCATCGACTGCAAGCCTCCTCACTGATATCTGTCCTGGCGACCCCACCGTAAGCAACCAATCAGCAGGCTGCCAGCAGTGGCGAACAATCTATCGGTATGGCCTGTCGTCGTCACCTTTGTGCATGAATTCTCTCGTTCAGGTCACGGTCGAGACATGCAGAGGCTTGGATTCAGTGTCAGATCCAGTCAGATTTGATGCGTCTTGCATGTTGGAGCAGACAGGATGCGGGGCAGGAGGTCAGGACACACGACTGGACGCCCGTACATTCAAAGGCCATGTCTGTGTTGCGCGCCAACAGGACATCTCTGTTGCCGGTATTGCGGGACCAACGGCATTTCATGCACAGATCCGCCCGACTGCAACACAGGTACGAAACAAGCGCATGTAGCAAGCGAGGATTGATGTATTGGGGCGGGGATCAGCTTGCATCGAGCTTGGGGTCGAATATGACTTGCCCATCCAACCGTCTCCTCCGCGCAAGCTCGGCACACCTGAAGGCACCGGGTTCACCACGAATGACAACAATGAGACGCACCTGGTCCTCCAGGTAAAGATACTCGACAAGACAACCAGCACACGTCAAAGCAGCACTACAGGCAACGACTAGCCACAATTCGACTGAACTGCGGAGGGCATGATTGTGTGCCATTAAAGGGGCTTCAATGGCTTTGTTCTTGTGTTGCTTTCAGTGTCAGAAACTGTGTGCTGAGGATGAGGAGTGCACTCATTTTAGCGTCATGGATATTGGACATATATGGCATAATGAAGAGGAAGAGGAAGAAGAAGGGAGCATTTATGAGCCGTCGTGCCATTTATTTGAGATACCGCCGGGCAGTGCAATCCTCAGGCTAGCGGATCAGGATTCTATCAGCGGGCCGCAAGATTGCTTTGGTAAGTGATTTGCCAGCGCAACTAATTGCCACTTGGGACTATTTTGTTGCTGCAGCGATAGAATCGGTGGTAACGAGCCCCGGCTGTGTACCTGCTTGCATGAATGGAAGCATCTCGGATTATGGTTACGTAAATGTCTCGTCGACAACTCGCGACAGCATGGCCCTGCCCGCAACGTCTGCCCGGGCGTGCTATGCCTGGTGCCGTCAACGCAGCGATTGCGACTATACCAACTATGACATCGTTCACCAGTCGTGCTTCTTACTCAAGGAGACTGCAGACACCGGTCTGGTCAGAATGGATGGCTTTGAGGCCGGTTGTCTCAACGAGAACTGCCGAAGTGAGAGAAAGCAAGTGTCTTGACAAAGAACAGCGCCTACTAGCTTCGAGCTTACTGTTGTAGGAGGGGTGGATCTGTATAAGGAGGGAAATCCGTCAACTTGGCCGCCACTGCTGAATCTATTCCACCAGAACACACACGAGATTCCGGAAAGGTCCCATCTTTCTGATGCGAACTTTGGAACGTCCTCGCAGCCGAGTGCCCTTGAGACGGTTAGTCTTTCACGAGGATGTCGTGCTTGTGCAGTCATGAATTTCTGCTTTGCTCTGCAGCTTTGGGATGCCCAGAGTGACGAGTTCTGGGAAGGCAATAAGACTGGGAGCGAAGTCGACCACTTCACAATCCAATTTTCGAGCAAGGTCAGCATTGTTTGATGAGGATGCAGTATGTTTGACTGAGGCTTAGATGAACATTTCAGACATACGTTGGCGGCATCGCGCTCTTCTTCGGCCAGAAAGCGCTTGTAGAGCGCAACATCCCCCCGCTGCTCTCGGGCAATTGGACGCCGCAACACATCACCGTGAAATACAAGAACGACGAAAACGACTGGGAAGAGATCCTGTCTGCCGATGGCAACACACAGGTACGTGTGTATGAAGATAAACACCTTTGTGACGCAGAAAGGTCTGTGTCTCTTTGTTTGTAGATGATGTTTGAGCGACACTTCGCCCTTGTGCATTCCGACGAGTTCACGGTGCTCCTCGCCGTCTCTGGGTATTCTCACATATACTCTCTGCTTCTGATATGCTCCGGCAGGTCGAGATGGCCTCGACTCCAACTGAAGAACCATCACGGGTGTATGGGGTCCATTTGTATGGGGTTCCAGAAGGTCAGTCAACTGGCGGCAGGAATCTGTACTTTTTGCCTTGTTCGGTTGCGCTGTGCAGCCTGCTTCCACACTATGGGAGCCTTCAAGTGCGCAGAGCCTTTCACTCATGGGCCCTTTTCAGGTGGCCTGTCAGTCTGCAAAGACGCGTAAGGCTTACTCACAAAGGAAGATGCAACCTGCAAACCATGTGTGCACCGCTTTACAATTATCAGATGTGCGAGTGACAGCAGCTGTCTATGTGCGACATTCACGATGACGTCCCAGTGCAATGTTGGAGGAGGCCCCTACGGCATGACGGCCGACATCATGTCTACAAGCTTCGTCAAGGGCCCCCCCTGTAACGTCCCAGAGACATCATTTGCCTTGCGTCCGTCCATTTCCTTTCTGTATGTGATTGATCAGTTTCTGAGGCGAGCTCCGTCGACATGATGTTGATTGCCAACCAGTCGGCACGCATTGGAGATACAGCGATATTCCAAGCGGCCTTTCTAGACGATCACCAGTGTCGTACAGTTGGCCCCGTGAACGAAACTGTCCGTTCTGCAGTCACAGAGGTGACCGTCGAGACGGCTCAGGCGTGGGGTGCCAAGACAGGTATGTCAGCAATGCCATCTCACTTTTCTGTGATTCTTTGCGTTTATGGCTTGTCAGACTACGTCGAATGCCCGAACTCTCAGATGCGATTCGCCCGCTGTGCCCTCCAGACTAGCAGCCAGTCAGCCTGTGAAGCTCTTGGGTGCTGCTGGGACGCCTCAGCCGACGATTGCTACTCTGTTGACCCATGTGCGGCTTCGCACTAGCCTGGATAGAGAAGCTCGTCTTAATTGTGTGCCTCAATGTTTTGCAGTGTGGGACCTCACGGGCACCTATCGCTTGACCAGCGAGGCCGGCAACGTGGAAATCGAAATAACTCACGATCGTGAAAACAACCTCATCATGTAGGATGGAAACAGAGTGATAATCGTTTGGATTTCATGTGAGTGTGTGTGCATTCAGAGGGCCTTCTGTCGAGCTAGGCGGGCTCTTCAATGCCATCCCGCTCAGTTATGTCTCCTCAGATGTCTCGACCCCTTTGACCATGCGTGGTCTTGAGACGCCCGACACAGAGCTCCATCTCGTCCTGGATGCTGGCGGTGGGTACGTCAAGGCATCTAGAGCGGAGATGGAAGTCGAATACATGGGCCAAACGTATACTCTCACGAGGATGCTTAATGTCTCTGCGTGTAAGCATGAAGGAATACTATTTTGGGACGAGCATGTGTCGATTTTGTGTCCCAGCCGGCAGCCATGTCATCGGTGAGCTCGGGGACTTCTCCAGCCTAAAAGATGCGGCACAACAAGTATCAGTAGACACCAGCCTGTCCGACCCAGGTCCGTAAATGGCTCGTAGTGATGTGATACATGAGACAAAGGCCGATGGATAAGAATGACTCTCTCTCTCCTGGTGTCCTGTTCAGTTGTCTTCTACGGAGTGAGAGCACCCACACACACACACAGCACAGGAAGAACGACGTCATGCAAGCGTTGTGTGTATATTGGTAGGTGCACAGACCAGCCAACTCAAAGGCTAATACTGGCTCGACTCGTCCCAGGACATTGGCTGTCCTGGGGCCGCACGCTGCAAAGAGTGCGCCGCCCCAGCAGAACTGGCACTTCTTTGCAGCGGCGGAAGAACCCTCCTGTGCCACTCCGGATTGTGAGTGAGAAGAAAGGCTGTATATTTAGTCCATCTTTCTCTGTCTCTGCCTCTCGCTCTACGTGTGTGTGTGTGTGTGTGTCTGACGCCAGATGTGGGCACTAGGGTGCCTTGGATGATACTCGAAAAAGGAAGTTACCTACTGCCGAATCCCGGCAGACACAAGATGGATATGATGCATGTAGGTGGCTGAACTACTGCTCTACCCTCATTCTCTTGTCTCACCTTGCCTCCCTGATTTTCCTTTCGCAGGTGGGAACATTCACCATTCCAGCGGACTATGTGATTGGTCAGACCGAGCACAAATACCAACATCCCGGCTGGCATCGTGTCGTCTTTCCTAAATCCTTCCCACTCACAAGCGAAGTAAATAGTGAAGAAAAATGTAGTCCCTGAGACGGCTGCCGTTTCTTTCTCAGGTCATCGTGATTGTGACTGTTCTGGCATACACCCACAGCAACAACTATGTCGCAGCGCGGGTCAAAGACGTGTCTCCGTATGGCTTCTTGGCTTCCCTCGAGGATGACAGTAATACAATAGTTCTATGAGCGTACATAAATGTCTTCATCTACACACTCACAGGCCATGGGATAATGGACGACTTGAGAAGAAAAGGCGATATCACGATTGGCTATCTCGCCATTGAGTGGCCTGGAGACGTGTAAGCTGCCTTTGCGAGAAGATTGCTGCAATGGGACACCCATGCGAAATTTCTGGATCCAGAAAGGTTCCAGTGTCGATCGGCCGGCTGGTCGGGATGAAGCGAATGTATCCAGCAGATGGAGACGATGAAATGAGATTCGACTTCCCACGGCGCTTCGACAAGGACAAATGGTTTGGCTTCGCTTCCTACGGCACATACATGGAGGCGGTCTCGAAGACCATGAAAGGCCTTTCGACCACCGGGACACGCCTTTACCTTGAAAGTGCGCGAAAAGACGAAAGGCGCATCCATTCACTATCAACTGCCTTTTGTGACCCCCTTTTGTCTCGGCAGCGAATGACAATCATGAGTGTTACAAGGTAATCTAAAACACGTGATTTGTCAAAATGCACATGTACGCGACCGTGTGTCGCTTTGTACCTTTCAGGACCCGACGCCAATGGAGGACCCACAGGAATGGGGTAGACAGCATGTTGCGCACCAGTAGACAGCCCATCGAAAGGAAAGCAGACAAACGTCCCACCGGCACATTTCCCCCTTTGCCTGTTGACAGTGCACTACGCCATTTGGCAGGACCCGACAGCCTACAACCCCTCTGACCGCTCTTTCCATGCCAAACCGTTTCATAGGTACGCACCCATCTGACCAGAATGAGGTCAAAAAGGGCTGCGTATTGATAGCCGAGACGGACTCGAATTGACCGCTGATGCATTGCCCTGATGGATTTCTATGCTCATTCAGCATTCTGCGGCCTGTTACTGTGCCGGTGACCAATGGCACGGCCACGGCGTCTGCACAGCTCTTCCAGGCCGGGCGCACAATGGCACGCGTCGCCAAGCCTGAGACACTGAGAGGAGACAGCATTCAATATGCAGACTGGTATCCAGGTCAGGTTTAGTCCAGGAGACACAGACATCAACTCTCTCAGAGTCTCGGTCTTGTGTTGTGTGCAGCAACACAAAGGGCGACCCAGATAGTGGTATGCGGAAAAAATGTCATGTCTGACGTGTTCCTGGCTGTCCTCCTGCCGTGTCCACAGATAAATACCATGTCTGTGCTCCCCGCTGACGGCTCGAACTTCACCGTGTACGTGATGTTCACGGACGCGTATGGCAATCTGGTTGATCGAGGGCCAGACGGCTGCACCGACTCGTGCGAAGCCGATATTACGGTTTCGAACCCTTCTTGTGTCCAATACTACAACGCGGAGGGGCTTCTCGATGGAAAGCTGAATCTTGAGATGGGCATCGGCATTGCTACCGTGCAGGGGATGAATACATGTGCCAACAGCTTTACGGCGACCTTCTCTGTCCTTGGACCCGACGGTCTCGCTGCGGATCGCCAGCTCACCTTTGCAGGTGAGAGACATGATGGCTATCGCAGCTGCTGTGTTTGTCTGCATTCTCATTTGTCCTCCGCCAGAAACAGCCATGCAAATACACATTGACACCGACGTCTTCTTCGCCGGAAGTGTGAATGAGGGCAGAATCAAGGCCAAAAGCTACGGGGCAGACGGCCTTACGGATGAGTCTCCCAGTTCCGCTTTCTGTGAGACTCATCCACAAACACGCCCACGGAGAGGCACAAAGTTCTGTGTGTGTATGTGTGCATCAGCGGGGACTTTGCGGCTGCATGTGACTGGAGGGGCGAGCTTCAGTGAAAGTGACGAAGCTCTCAATTGGATGGACATCTCGTTGGAGAGCGCCGTGGGGAGCTTCATCATTCACGCCCACCGACCCGGTGTGTGCCAGCTGACGATCGAGGACATCGGCTTATCCAATTACTACATGATTCCGAAAGCCTTCCAAGTCATCCCCGGTTCTCCGATCCGGTTAAAAGTAAACGCGCCATCTAGTGCTGCAGTCGGAGAGGTGGTCAACATAGCGCTCTGTCTTCGCGATTCGAAGAACAACGATTATCACGGTGCGACGGGCAAGGTCATCATGAATCTCAAGTATGCAAGCGGCGCCCGATTTGTGGGAGGCGTGGACGCATCAAACTCGACAACGCTTTCCTTGGGTTGCGGCTCGTTCTCGATTCAAGGCGATGTCGACGGACAGAGAGTCACTGTGGAGCCTAAGTTTGGCTTGACAAACCTGGCCAGCACGGGCTACAATCTCGATGATATCACGATCGACACCGCAGACATATGGATCGGCACGCCGCCTTTGTATACGCAGGCCGCCTTGGTCGTATCGCCCGCTTCGATCACTGTTGGATCCAGTGCTGTGATCGGGGTCGAGCTGAGGGACGGCTCGGACACGCTGGTGACAACGCATACTCCCGCCACCATCCAAGTGACCACTCATACAGCGCTGCCGAGCCTGTCGTTTGAGGTGGATGTAACGAATGGGGTAGGGAGTTTTTCGTTCATCTCGTTCCATGCCGGAAGCTGCAATGTGTCTCTCGAGGACAGCCATCACATATACGTGCCCCCCACATCACTCGTTCTGGAGTGGCTGCCAGGTAAGACTACTCATACGAAGAGAAAGTACGAAAATGTGACTGTTGTCTTGACTTCCTCTGCAGACGTGGCCGCGCAGCTTATCTTTGAAATCGACGGGACATCGATTGATGCAGGAGAATCAGTGTCTGTCAATGTCTCAATGCTGGACACTCACGGCAACCCAACTACCTTCTCGGGGGACGTGAGTATTACCTTCACACAGCCCGGCGAGCCGACAGATCATGAAATCCTGACCTTCGCCAGCGAGCACTCGAAGACATTCTCTCACGTGCTGATGCATAAAGGAGTTGTGACTATTTCCCCTTCAAGCCCGGGTCTGTCCTGCAGTCCGCATTCTCTTGATGTCTCTGTCGTGTTCTACCCCGAACCACCTTTCGGTGTTGGAGGCTGCCGATGCGGCTCTTGTTCAAACAACCAGGGAGTATACAATTCGCAATACCTGGACAATGACCTTTCGGATATGGGGAGGAGGACAGAGTGCTCGGCCCTGTGTGACGCAGACGATCGATGCGTCGGCTTTGAGGTGGAGAAGCGCCCGCAAGACGCAAGATGCGAAGTTCATCGCGAACCACTGACTCACATTTACCCAGGTTATACTAGTCTTGAATGCTTCCCACGTCCAGGTAAGGGCTGTCAAACAGTAAGCTCCGAGCTACTCATTCATCTTAACTTTGACGTTTCCGAGTAGGGATTCCGACGTGGATTCATCTATCTGCCAATTCGACGTCGATGCTTGTCGGTGAAAGCCTGGCAGTCAATGCATCGATCACAGACATCTACAACAGCTCGACGGGCTTCAGCGGGCAGCTCAGTGTGACACTGACTGTTGACGGGCAGGTCGTTGACTCGGCTGACATTGTCTTTGACAATCAAAGCCATGCTCTGAGCACTCACACAGTCACAACACCTGGTGCGGTGAGCATCAGTGCGACCGGGCCATCCCTTGCTTCGCACGACATTCAAGTCGATTGCTTTCGAGGTACCTAGGAATTCCATGACCAACCTTTTACGTTCCTACTCTGTGTTAATGTGCAGAGACAAGGGTGCAGTTGCTGCTAAATGGGCCGTCTTTGACGAGGTAGGACTTACAAGCAGGCTCTGTCAAAGACGGCCCACAAGTTCCTTCGCTATGTCAGGGAACCGAACGCTACGGTAACTGCCTCGTTTTCGGTGGCTTTGACCGCCCCAATCGAGGCAAACGACATCGCGATCTCGCACGGGACTGTTATGCTGATAGAGGACCTCAGCAAAAACCTCACGATTTTCTCTATCCACATCGTCCTGGACCCCAACACGGTGTGCGAGTTGTACCTTCCGGCCGGTGTTGCGAGTGGGTCCTTGTCTGGCAGACCCAACTTAGCTTCAAGCGTAGTCAACATCACAAATGGTGAGCTGGAGACTTCAGCGGAGACACGCGTGCACCACCATGTCAATTTTGTCTCCTGTGTCAGACATGGTGCCGCCCACGCCTATCATCTCGCTCGACACCACAAGCCCAACCATTCGGTCGACGGACCGGTCCTCGACCTCAGCCAATGTGACCTTTCTGCTATCATTCGACGAGTCGGTGGTTGTCGACTCAGCCATCTTGGCAACACAGCTGACCCTTCAAGGCTTCGTCGACCTATCTTTGGAGGAGGCCACACCCGGGCGAGAGTATCGCCTGGAGGTTCGGTTTGCCAGCTCGGGTAGCTTCAGCATCCAGATCCTGACCGAGGCGGCAATCGACCTGGCGGGAAACGAGAACTTGGCGTCGAACATGATCAACGTCACATACCGTATCGAGCCTGCATGTCATGAAAACATGAGAAGACGGAATCATTTGTGTTGCTTCGTTCTTAGGTCCGGGGTGCTTTGAGGACTGCAGCCATGGCTATGATTGTGTGCTGCTGCCTACAGAACCACCTACATACAACTGTGTCAGTGCTATGCACACAGCGGCGGAAAAGTGATGGCACTGCAGCTTGCCTTGTGCGTTTTGTCGACAGACTACTGTATGCGGCAACGGCATCAGGACCACAGAAGATGAGCAGTGTGACGACGGTGAGAGGAGAAAGAGCGTGTGTCATATTCAAGCAAGCAATTTGTCTGTGTGCAGGCAATGAGGAGACGGGGGATGGATGCGACGCCGAGTGTTTAGTAGAGGGTGGCTGGGTCTGCGAAGAAAACGATGAAGGGCGATCCATCTGCAAAGAGGGCTCGCTTTGTGACCTTCTGGCCTACCTCGAGGAGCACTTTACGTTGGACACTTGGCACCTCTGCAAGCAGGGTGTCCATGTCCCGCCAAGCGAGCTGCTCGTCAAGTGCGATACCCCAGTGTCATGCGAAAGCGACACGGTCGAGCTTGCTGGCGAACCAGTCATCGGTTGTCAGCTTGGTACACACACCTCACATCAAATGGATCGGTTTCGGTTTCTCTGGTTCACGATGAGTATGTTTCCTTGCAGGGCTGCAGCCTTCTGTTTGCCGAGAGCTTGACCCACCCAAACTACTGTCGGCTGAGTATCAGGACGGCTTCTCATCCATCCTGGCAGTCTTCGCAGCAGATGTGGCTGTCTTTGACCAACAGGCAATGTCTCTCGCCGCCCTTGAAGAGACGACGCTGGACCTGTGCGACGTCTTCACACCAGAGAGTCGAATGCTGTTTGGCACCTCGCCAACTTGCACTGCCGACTCCGCGCGCGTCATCAGGATCTCCCTCGGCCACAACCCAAGTGCCGGCCTCGCAGACCCCATTGAGATCCGGAACAAGACGCTGTTCCGAGCTGAGGCCTTGCAGCTGTCTCCATCAACAATCCCGGATGGCTGGCTCCTGGCGGGTGCCAGCGAGCCGATCGGGGTCAGCAATGACATTGGAGAGATTCCCAGTCCGAGTGCCGTGGTGGTCCAGCAGCCTGTCCATTCCATCTGCCATCCTCTTGTGGTCAACGCGAATCTGGAGGGAGGCCTCGGAAGGCCTATTGAAGCGACGTGGAGCTGCATCAGTCCTGAGCAGGCATGCAACTATCTCAACCGGCACATCAATGGCACCACAGAAGGTCAGACTACTCACGAAAAGCCACGAGATCTTTTGCATCTTCTGTATTGACTCTTTTATGTGACTGCCGACCAGGCCCCGTTAAAGGACCACTCAAGGTCACGTCCTCAACATTGACGCTCATCGTCGAGCCTGCGTATATTTGGGAGGCCTTGGACACGGATCAGACCCATTCGAGTGACGTACAGGAAGCGACCTTTACATTCAAGCTAAGGCTTCGGAATTTCCTACTAAGCGAAGTTTCAAGGACAATCGAGAGCAGGCTTAATCTGGCAACAAACATCTCTTTCCCAGTTGTGTCCCCTGCACCCGAAACGCCAGCTGTCATGACTCAGAGGGTATCTCGGAAAGACACAGCATGACTCCTGCGTGCGGAGAATGCTGGAGTTCTTTTCTTTATGCAGGTTGATGCTCCTCTCCGGCTGAGGATCGTTGTGCAAGAGGCAGAGGTGGATGCAAGGTGCAGGGAGGCCCGCGGGGCTACGTCTACGGATGCGGCACAAAACATTGTGGTCGAGTGGTCCTCTGAAGAGTTTATCGTTAGTCCATCAAGCTCCCAGTCGAGCAGCGATTCGAGTGGCTCTCAACTAATGCTATATCGCCCACCAAACTCCTTCCCGCCGCTGTCATCTTACGCGTTCATCGCTCGCGTCTCATACAGCAACCAGCCAGACTATGCGGTGCAGATGCGCTTCGACGTCCAGATCGACAAATACCGAGCCCCGGGGCTGACCATTTCTGTGCCGCCGATAAGCTCAAGCGCGTGCTCTTTCCAACTCAATGCTGTGGGGCTCGTCACCTGGCTCCCGACGTCGGCTGATGCGGTCATTGTCTTCGACTGGAGCTGCTTCCGGCTGAAAGAAGGGACGAATGTGGACGAGGAGGGGCTCGCGTCTCTGCTTGTGAGCGATCCTGAAGAGGCCACAAGGGCCCTGGAAAGCTGTAGCGATGAGGTGATGGGTCAGTCCGCCAGCTCGATCGCCAACGAGAACATCGACGTGCGGACAATTGAGGGAGACACGCTGTCTCCGGGCGTTTACTTTTTTCGCGTGACCGCCTCACTCGAGGATGGCTCGACAAAGATCTCTGAACAAGCTACGGCTGCTAAGAAGGTCGCAGTGCTTCCAGTCGATCAAGTGGAATATCCAGTTTTCAGTTTCTCTCACATACCGGCCAGGCAAGTGTGATTATCGAGATCATCTTCGACTTGAGCAAAACCTTGAGCAATTCCTTGTCCTTGTGTGCTATCAATGTAGGATTTCTCTCACGAGGACCGTCGAGGCCGCGATTTTCGACTCGGCTGCATTCTCGGAACAGCACGCGCAGAGCGAGCCCTCAGCGTGTTCAGAGAGCTTCGCTGGCACACTGACAGTCGAATGGTCAATCGTTTCGGCCGACTCGCACGATCAGAGCGCCCCGGGGGGAGACATTAAGAACCTGACAGCCTTTGAGGTTCAGAGGATTATGAGACATCAACGAACTCGGGGTGCCGCAGGCAACAAGGCCTTCGCTGGCTTCTCTGTGAGCCCAGTAGATCTCGAGGTGGGGCACCTTTACCAAGTCAAGGGCGTTGTGACGATTGATCGTGACAATGGCACGTCGACCCGCAGTATCTACTCGGATGGCTTCATCATTGACCGGCCGCCTTTTGGTGGCGAAGTGACGGCGTCGTCTGCCAAGGTTCTGTCCTCGGAAAGCATCGTCTTCGAGCAAGATGGATGGATGGACGACAGCGACACGAAGGCACTGGTAAGTGAGACAAGGATGGCATGGCTCCCAATTTGTCCGTCTCGGTCTTACGTTTCTGACACAGCGCTTCGCCTTCTATCGGTCGTCTCACAGCGGCGCGGCAGTCGCTAGACCGCTTTGCCCATTCAGGACTTCTCTCGAAGGCGGGCTCAGGTGTGAGGTTGTGCTGCCCGTGGGAGATTGGCGAGTGTATGGTGTTGTGCGAGACACCTACGGCTTCCAGTGCCTCACGCATGAGCCGGATGTAGGCACCGCTACGAGCGGACTCGTCTGCCCTTCAGTGACCGTTGGAGTGACCCCCACAGGGTCGGCAGTCAGTGACGGTCTACAAGCCATCGCACAGGTGACAATACAGTGCACATGCATACCATTCAGGCAACTGTCGTCTCTTCGTGGTGCTATTCGCTGTCCAGATTGCTTCGCGAAGCGCGGACGTGACTCAAATAATGGGTACAGCGACTGTCGCCGCATATTCCGTCGCCCACACGGCCTACGGAACAAGCCAGGACGAGGTCACCAGCGCCTTGGATGCCATCGTGAACATATTTGTACGCGACTTAAGGCCAAGACTTGTCTTCCGCAAATGAGATGCTTCCTGTGTTTCTCAGAGCTTGCCAGTACTCACAAACACACAGTCTGCCGAGGATCTGAATGCCATCGCGCTGAGTATGCGAGAGCTGTTTGCAGACCTTCCCCTAGCACATACTCTTTCCTCAGACCAAATGAATAGTGCGTAAGTGTGGAACAACACAACAACGACCGATTGTCCGGCAATCGGGTTGACATCCTTCAGGGCACAAGCCTTGTTGAGTCAGGCGCAGGCGCACGTGAAGAGCCTGGTCGACAGCGAGACGGACGGAGACCTCATGCAAAATGCGAGGCGCGACATGTTCGAGACAATGTCATCCCTCCTCAGGACGGACCAAGCAGCGAGTGAAAATGTCTCTGGCGCGATGCAGGGAGCTGTCAGGAACGTGGCCAATAGCATCATCAAGAGGGCCCTGGAGGAGGATGAAGATGTCGTCAGCACCAGCAATCTGACCCTGAAAGTTAAGAAGGTGGCCGGCTTTCAGGGACGCGGCATTCACTTTGCAGACGTAAGTGACACAGACGGACAGCAAAATATAGGTGACCTTAAATTGTCTTTTTCACTCGTCCGTCTTGCAGGGGAACCTTAACACCTCTCTTGGAACGGCTATGTCGATTAACGGCAGTCGGGTCCGTCGACTGCAATCGGGCTCCGCGCTGTGTGAGTGTCCCGTATCTATCTACTCCCTCACCTGGCCTGTCAACCCCTTCCTGTACGCCACTGCTGGCGAGGGTAACAGCAGCTTCGATGACGAATCTCTGCATGTTACAACAATCGAGCTCATCTGCTGCGACGAGGCTCTGGAGGTGACCAAGACTGGCGACAGCGACGAACCTCTCATTCAGTTCTTCGTGAGGGTGCCACCACTTCTCGTCAGTGAGACTGACCAGCGAGAGTTGACCCCAGTGCAGGCCGAGGAGTCAACACATGATTCAGTGATGTCAGGCCCCGACTCGAAATGGCAGCTCCGCCAGCTTACAATCGTCGAGAATCTTGGTTTTGCCGACTCGAAGAAAGTCTTCAAGGTGCACGCGGCGGTCGGGGTGTCGGGATGCACACGTGACGGTATTACTCCCTCTATCCCTTTCTGTTTCGAATTCAGCTTCACCTGCCCGGCGCCCCTGACCTGAACCTTGATGTGCAGGAGCCCGTCTCGTCTTTTGCTGCCCCAGTGCCGGAGGGCTCCGTGCCGTGTGTGGATGACCCGACGAAGCTGTGCTTCAACATCACAGAATCTTATATCGCACTGGTGCATGAGTGGCTGTGCGAGTACTTTGACACACGCAACAGAAAGTGGTCACCTGAGGGATGCAGAAAACTCGACAGTGAGGGGACACAAAAGGGCAACATCGGCTCTCTCTTGTCTTGACCCCTCATCTGCAATGGTCGCTTGCTTTGCAGGCAACGAGACACATGTTCTATGCGGGTGCGATCACCTATCTTCGTTCACGGCGGCGGCCACAACAGCAAGCAAGCGATTCGACGACACCAACATCTACACCGTGCGTCAAACCGTGAGCTTGCTGCAAGACGTCGTCGACAAGCCGGTGAGGGTGGTCGAGTACTTCATCTTCTTCTTGGTCCTCCTCCTCCCCTTCTTGCACTTCGCTAACAGAGACAGGTAGGCCGTGATGCTGGTTAGGGAGGCAGACAGGACTAGTTTTCGCGTTTCAGGACCGATTGGCGGCCTCCGCACAAGCGCCGAAGACTCTTCTTCCAGGACAGATGTACACCAGCATCCACCACAATGCACGCTGCATCCGCCTGGCCTCTTCACTCCGGATGCTTTCGTCTGTCTATATCTGGCAGATCCGAGAAAGGACATGGGCTTCATGTGTATGGTGTGTCCACCCTTCCGGCTGTAAGGACGAAGAGAGAAGGACGGACGCTGCTATCATCGTGTGATGGTCCGTTTGCTCTGTCAGGTTCGGTGGTCTTGTCCTCGTCGCGCCTCTAATTATCAATGTCTCGGGGATTCTGAGGAGAGTACGTTTCTTCTGCTGCTTCGGTTGGCTGGTCTTCCTCGTCAAACGCTCCAAGAGGAAACGAGACCGGTATAAGGTGCGTGAAGCTGAAACTGAGGGCGAGGAGAAGGACAAAGACGTAAGATACACGACTTACTCATCGAACAAGCGCAGCCCACGATGGCTGTGCTTCGTCAGGAGGGCGCAGGGACGGAATTGCGGAGCACGATCACGTCCCGGCGGATCTCCGGCAAAAAGGGCTTTTCTGCCGTGCTGCAGCAACGTGACGCCGCTGATGACAACGGAGACTTTGTCCCATTCTATCGTCAGATGCGAAAACGTGAATGTCTTAGAAGTGAGCAATTTCGTCTGCTGTCTTTTCAGGGCTTCAGCAGAAAGAATATCGAGATGTACAGGCGAGGCTTGGAGCGTCCTTGCTCACCTTGCGGCACGTACGTAGTACCTCTGATCCGGAAAATGAGGCGGACACACAAGTGCTTACCGTTGTTATCCCTGTCCTGCAGGTGGCCCGAAGTGGCGGCAGGGAGACTCGGAAGATTCAGCAGGAGGCACAGCATGGAGCTGCGATGGCACACGACATGAACATGTTGGACAGCATGAGCATCTCTGGGCAAGCAGCAGGTGATTACTCATGACTGCCGCAAGCAGAGACAAGCACGCTGTTGACCTGCATATTGTATGTATGTGTCGCAGAGGGGCGTCGTTCCTCGTGGGTGTCAAGCGTCTCCCGCCAGAGCCTGAAAAGCACCACCAGGGAGACCGAAGAAGTCTGGTCCATCCCCCTTGTCGCGCGGCCATTCTTTCACCTGTTCGGGTTATCGGTTGACAAAGAGGTAAAGCTTCGGCCGCAGGCCATGCAGGTCGCACATGCGGTGCAGGCGTTTGAGCAGCAAAAGAACGAAAACATCGCCTCGACTTTGTTGGAGACAGACGGTCAGGGACACGAAGCGGGCATCATATCGACTTGTCGACTGTTCTTGCTTTTCAGTTCACCGCAGCCGGACACGAAAGCTGAAGCGGATCTATAAGAGACAGCAGAAGTATATGATGCAGCGCAAGTATATGGTATATACAGAAGAAGCAAGAGGAGAAAGAAGCTTTGGATCTTCTGTAAATTCTTCCCCTCTCTTGCAGTTCGTCGCACTTCTCGACGCGCAGGAAAAGAACCAGGCCTTCAAGAAAATGAGGTGGGTGCCAATTCAGAAGAAGCCCCGAATTCCGATAGTCATCTCCTCTTGTGGATCGACTGGATCGACTTGTGACAGGGCGGCCCAAGTTGCGCTGGCTGCGCGCTACATTGAGCTGCGTGGTGCTGTGCCATCGCCCAACCAGCCCGCGAACTATTCGCCTCCACTTGGCTCCATGCCCGTGTACCTCAAGAGGGTCAAGCGAGAGGCCCTGTTTCTACCGCGGTAGGTCTCTGATTGAAGTAAGGACATGGTCACCATCTATATCATAGCGTTGAACTGTCGGTGACGCAGATATGATTTGCAATTTGAGGCCACCATCCAGACCGGCACCATCTCAGCCGACTCAAGCAATTTGTTCGAAGATACGAGACATGTTTTCTGGTTGACGGACAAGGGCCGCGCGCTCTGCATTCATCCCCAGAGTCAATTGTGAGTGACGGCGATGACTTACATTGAGCTGCACCTGTATGTGTGTGCTTCAGTGCGGAAAGCCTGCTGCTCCCACTTATCGAATACGAAGGACCGAGGTACATGCTGCCACTGGAGAGCGTCAGAGTGCGACCCGTTGACGAGGCCACCAACCAGAAGCTGGTGCAGCTATTGATTGGCCTGAGTGACAATCGCACAAAGGAACCAAGAAGACTGGACAGGGCGCAAAGCATATTGTACCGCAGCAGGTCGACGTTCGTTGCCGAGCTGGGCGAGTAAGATGAGCAGCTGAGGGAAAGTGCAATTGGCAGCAGTGTTCTTTTCCCCTCTCTAGGTACTGGGATCCGAGCGACCCCATGCAAGGAGTGGACGATGCTCCTTCGCCCTTGAACCGAGACGACAGCATTCACCGGGACAATAGAGGGGCAATGGTTGTCGTCGAGATTGAGCTGGCCGAACTCATGGACGCCAAGACCGTCAAGTCTCTGCTTGCCAGTACACCGACCTGGGCGCGGCGTGACATTCAGTGGAGCACTAGTGGGGATGAGAAAAGTGACGCTGCGGCTGCAAGGCGTGCTGCACTGGGGAAGTGGGCTTCGGCGACATACGACCTGCGCCATCAAGCTGAGACGAGCCCACTGTCGATCCCATCCACAGCCCTGGACGCTTACATGCCACACCTGGGCATGTGCTCATTGTGGATGAGCCATCAGGGTCTCGCCCTAAATATCCTACCCCGAGAGGTTTCCAGCTTCAGGTCGATTGAGACCAAAATGCTGCCATCATCGGACAGTATCGTCTCCAAGCAACTGCGGCCCATCCAGAACCTGTTCGGCCGGCTCAAGCTTGGCAGCGAGCAGACCAGAAATGAGCAGGAGGCCGTCTACAAGGTGTACGTGGTCTTCCTCTCGGATATCACTGAGATCAGGACCGTCGATGGCACTGAACCAGACGGCGACGAGGATGGCGGCCTGGACGTGTCGAACCTGCCATCAGTCAAGCTCGTGCTTTCAAATGGATCTTACGTACGCTTCCACTTCGCCCATGACATGATCGGCAAAGCCTTCAGCAACAACATCCAGGCGGTCTCGCGCGCGTCTCTGTCCGTGAAGCGGCGCAAAAAGAGGAGAGCATTGCTGGGCGAAGGCGGTGCCCTCGACAAAAAGGTCAACGTCAACGTGGAGGCGCTTTTCACAGACGACATTCCCGATCGGCATGCGGCGCCGCTGAAACGTTCTTCGTCCTTCTCAGGACGACGCGCCGATGAGACATCGCCGGTCATCATGATAGACGTCTTCGACGACAACCAACCCAAACATCGGATCGCGCTGCGACCGTCTACGTGCTTCTCTGACAGCCTCGCAAGCAGACAGCCAGAAGTTGCAAATGAAGAGGAAGATGCGGCTGCAGGAGGCCTGGGAGTAGCGGGCTTCGATGACTTTTTCAGTGCCGACAAGACCCCAGCACCGAGACGGGCTGGCAGCGCCAACGCGACTGAGTCCCTTGCTGTGTCATCCCCCTCGAGCCCGCTCCGGAGGCGCAAGGACGGCTCGTCATTCGACAGATCGGCTGGCGAGCACCACGACTCTGCTATTGCGACATCCTTCCAGACAGCCCAGCAAGCGATCCAGGTCGCTGAGCACGAGGCGCTGCAGCACCAGAGCACTCTGGAGAACATTGCTGAGGCGGAGACACAGTTCGAAGAGGCCCCCGTGTCCATTCTATGTGACGACGTCTTCCATGAGTCGACATTGTCGGCCGTCGTGGCGGACATTCCTGAAGAGGTCCGGGAGAAAGTCGACACGAAGGAGCCAGAGAAGCCCTCTTCGCGCGGGTGCTGTGCTAAGCTGCAAGATGGGCTGATGCGGTTTGAGGATTACCAGAATCAGACGATCGTCTACACATGGGAGGCCACCAACCTCCGCGCACTCGTCAGCAAACAGAACAAGCGCACTCAGGTATGCAGCTCTGCATCTGAGCACGACCCCTCTCGATCCTCGGTGTTTGTCGACACAATCACAGAATTTGGTACTCGCGAAGAGGCTGCAGTATCACGAGTGGCCCAGCAGTCGCCTTATATGGACGGTCGCCATCAGGGAGCATCCATGTAAGCACAAGGCGGATTACACGATGCACAACATTTTCATTCCGCTTGGCTCTACAATCGTGTAATCCAAAATTGAGCAGTTCCAAAAGTATTCCCATACAATCCATTGATCTCGAGGTCAGCTATGGGCTGTGAGTGGCTCGTGTCACGCTTTTCCTGTGCGCTGCAGGTGCCAGCGATACCTGATCGAGTTCAGCTCGATTGTTACCGAACTCTTCTTCACTTCGCTCTTCTTCAACGCAGAGTGCGTATCGAGGCCTTCACGTGAGCTATTGAGCACTCACAGAGAACATTCATTTAATATGCGTCCATTGCTGACGTGTCTCGATCAGCTGAGGTGTGTTTCCCCTTGATCAATCCCTTCGTGCCGTCGTGGCACGTGCTCTTCAGCTCGTTGTGGGGCGTCGTGCTGGCCGTACCTATCCCCCTCTTCCTAAGGGTAGACTCGAGCACTACACAGATGTGTGGCAGATTGCGCCTTCTCTCCGTGTATGAAATTATCAGTTTTGTTTCGCCAAGAGGATTGTCGAGGAGCTGTCGACGCCAGCAGAGAAGACCTTCATTGTAAATACCAACACGGACACAGCTGCAACACACCTGATTGTCTCATGTCTCGCCTGTTCACCCCCCCTCTTTTTCTGAAGCTGCACTACTGGCGCATCAAGGACCTTCTGGGGTACACGGTCGTTTCCCTGTGGGATGCCTTCTGCATATACTTCATCCTGCTCTTCATACTGGTAGGGGCAATCTTGATTGATCGAGACAGGCTACCAACATGCGTCCTGTCCTTTTGTAGAAGTACGACGATACCCTGGTTTTCAAGTGGACCCAGACGGCGATTCTCGCTCTCTTCAACAGGTGAACCAGCCGAGTCGGTAGCCCATCTTTACTCTTGAGCGTCATATCTGCGTGTGTCGTATTACTCCGGCAGGATAGTGACGGCTCCCACGGCGCGCACCCTGTGGGTGTCCGCAGTGCTTTTGATCAGCAAGAAAACCTGGATATGCGACTTCCTGCTCATGGCATGGCCGGCACTCATCGCCTTCACACACCCAGACATCACAAAACTCAAAAAACGAGCACCCGACAACAAAACGGTAAGACAAGGAGAGGACATGCAGGGACACTCTTGCTGATAAGGACACTCTTGCACGTCTCATTCAGCAGGACATGGCTGAGAGCGAGGCGTGGCCATTGGAAGCGCACAAGGAGGAGCGGACTCGCCTGAGGCTCCCTGCCGCGGCCGGCGCAGCCGACCCATTTGTGAGTCGGGTTGTCCGCAGCAAGGAGGCCGGTGTGCCACACGATGAGGACAGCGAGCTGAGCGACGAGAGTCCCATGATCATACCAACAGTGGATAGGAACGCCAGTAGGACAATAGGAAAGCAGCAGAAGCCGTCGGCTAAGAAGGCCGTAGAGTATGATGAGTACTACATCAAGCAACGATCGGGCATGCCCTACTTCTGACCTAGCTAAGTGTATGTATGCTGCGGTATTCTGTGCTGCGCCATGCTGTTGTTATTGTGCCTATGGTATTTTGGTCTTTTGACTTTCTTGATGCCTTGCAAGAGAAGTATTAGGGTGCACTTTCTTGGTTTGTGTTAGCTCACTATTGGGACATTCACTCATAGGGAAACAGAGAGTTTCTGGCGCACAATGGGTGTAGTGCGTGTAAGCAAGGCGGGTAAGCAAGGCGTGCAAGCAAGGCGTGCAAGCAAGGCACACAGTGTTCTATTCTGTGCGCTGGAACGAATAGACGCTCTTACATGTATCCATCGAAAGATCAGCTCTGTTTCCATCGATATCCACTATTCAAATGGCCCGCCGCCACCGAGCTCAACGTCTGAAAACAACCCACAAACAGAATGGTAAGTACGAGCCGATTGTGCCCCTTGTCCCAGCATGTCTCCTTGATTTTTCCCCGGTGGCAGATGTGCGGATCGTTTCTCGCTTACCGACTGTCTGGGCACGATGCACGGTGGCCTTCTGCCGCGAGATCTCCTTCCCGATGGGCGCCTCATGTGACGACAGCGATCGCCGTGGACGCCGAGGAGGATCGAACAGCTGGTCGAAGGTCGGGGCGACAACTGTGCAAACACATACACAGGGCAGCGTAGACAAGGGGCGGTGCATGCATTTTTTGTGTTGCCTTTCTTGCTGCTCTTCAGGACGCTCTTCGGGGGCGTCACTGAGACTCCCGTCGTCTTGCTGCGGGACGGCGCTGTGTTGGTGCCTCTGGTCGATCGCCGGCGAGGTCCGGTCTCCTCGTCCTCGAAAAGACGGCCGGACTTGTCTGCGGACTTGCCGATAACCGTGCTGATGAAGAGGCATGTGTGCACACAGGAGACATTTGCTGACTTGCTTTCTGTCTGTCTCTGCTCGACTCTACCTGTTGTCTGCGCCACTCTCCTTTTTGTAGGCCGAGCGGCGGGCCTCTTCCTGCGCCACTCGCTGTCTGTTGCGGTAGCAAAGACCCAGCCAGAGGGCGACCGCTCCGGCGATCATCACCAGCACGAAGGTCAGCGGCGTGGCCCACATCCAGGGCTCAGCGACGCCTGACTCCTTCTGTGAGCCGCTGAGGAGCATGGCAGAGAGGATGCACGGGGCGGAGCTGCTGGACGTGCACTTGGTGCCGAAGTGGCGGATGCTTTTGGGGCAGCACGCATACACACGGGTGTCGTGTGCTGAGTCATAGGCGGCCGGGCAGGACTCATCCGAGCAGCTGGGGCAGACGGCGTCGCAGCAGATATGGTAGGCTGGCGAATACGTGCCGCCTCTCTGGGAGCACATGTCCTGGAAGGCGCTGATTTGGTCCTGCTGCGGGTCGATGGGAGTCAGGTCAGGTGTGGACACAGGCACCGTTGTGCCCTCCTCGGGAGGCGGCTGCGTCGTGCCCATTGGCGGCACAGTGGGTGCCTGTGTCTCAACCGGCTGTGTCGGTCCAGCGGTGGTCTCAGAAGATGGGGCAGTGCTGCCGGAAATCGGTGCTTCGGTGGTGGGCAAGACAGGTGGAAGGCCGCTTGCGGGCTGAGGAGTGATTGTGTCGGTGGTGTCAGAGAGGTCTGCAGTTGTCACGGGGACGTCTGTGGTCTTTGGGGTGTCTGGCGAGGCCGTGGTGGGGACGACAGGAGGCTGAGTGGGCAGCGCTGAGACACATAGGCACATCGACAGACAACCAAGCAAATGTGTGTGCTCGCCAAGCTTGTGGGATGGCTGTTGACTGACTGACGTCTGTAGGAAGCAATCCAGTAGAGGCCGTACGCACGGGTGATGCCGTCGTTGAGCGCCATCGACGGAGCCGCGTACTGGTCGTACGCACTATCCCTGCATGCTCACACACACATCCACGCAATCATGAATGAGACCATTCTGCTTCATGTCTCAGAGACACAAGGGGTGCACTGATTGGCTGGCTGACTGGTCAACGAGGGCAAGATTGCCGGTGAGGAGGAGGCTCTTCCACGAGTTAGTCTGCGAGAGCGTCTCAGCGGGCGCCATCAGCGGGATGTACTGCAAAACGCTCTCCCACTCCTGCGGGAGGAAGAAGCATCTTCAAGTGTGGCCGGGCACCTGTTGCAACGTGTCTTGCCCGTACCTCTCTGCAGAATTGCTCAGACCGCGACAGCAGCAGAGCAGGTGTCACCGGCAGCATCTGGTGCACAAATCATGTTTGCTCATGTGTCTCCCGGGTGTGGTGTGTGTCTCGACAGGTGCTTCGCTCACCTGTATGCCGTGAATGTACTCAGTGTTGTCACCGAACCAAGTGGCGTAGTCGACTTTGTTCTCGAACAAAATACCGGACACCTGTCGGACAAGAAGCGTTGACTGACTGACCAGCCTGTCGTGTGTTGTGTGGCCGGATGTGGACCTTGTTTGGAATGGACTGCTCAGGGTGGTTCTGGTTGCCGTCGCGCAGAAGGAAGTAGTTCTTGTGCGCACGCCTGTCATGTGTGGGACAGAAACAGAGTGACATACGTGCTAATGAGTGGAGTGGCTGCATGCTCTGTGCAGCTCACGAGATGACGTTGAGGATGAGCCGTCCCAGCGACTGCATCTCCGTGTTGCCCGTCACCCGCCCCCACACGTGCATGGCAAAGTAGAAATTCACCTCTTCGGAAACGCTCTCCTACACACACCCATATATACACACAGACATTTGTGTGAGCACGCACCAAGCAACATCCAAGGCAAGAGATTCACCTGGTCCTTGCCGTCGATAGAGTAGAGTATGCCGCGTGACCACGAGTGCCCGCTGTACCAGTCCAGTGCGCGAAACATGGGGAACCACGTGTCGGCTCTCGAGGGGTTGACCACATCCCGCAACATCGTCTGCACGAACACCTTGTTGTTGCCCGCATCCAGCCAAGAGGGATCCAGCGACGCCAGGGCGGCCGCAGCAACAATGTAGTACCCGAAATGGCTGCACAGCAAGGGAGACAGAGACACAAACAGCATGGCCTACGTAGGTGTTCGCTGACGTGTGTGGCTGACGCACTAGTGGTGGTCATTGTAGGCAGGGTTGCCGAAGTCTTGCAGCAGCATTAGGATTGGCTGGTTGGCGTTGTCTGCCGCGGTCGCTCTGCCCGCCTCGCTGACGATGCCGCCCCACGACAGGTCATACACGAGCCTATGTGTGTATGGGACACGCACACATACACACGCACACACGCACAATGCCACAGAGCCGGGCCCTCCCTTACTGCGGCGGTGTGGGTGAGCTGCAGGTCCTGTCAATGATGCATGTGAAGGCCTGCTTCAGCTTGTTCACACACGTCGTCAGCAGCTGAGAACTGAGCACACAAACAAACATACAAACGAAGAAACAGACAAGCAAGGGGGAAATTCGCGAAGGCGTCATCTCTCCTCTGTCTCACCTGCCCATGAGCTCATTAGCCACCAAGCAGAGGTAACTCAGTTTCTGCATGCCTTTGCCCGAGAAGTACCAGCTGCCCTTCTGCGTCTCCGTGTCGACGTTGAATGCGTCGATCTCCTGTGTGAGGATGGCGCGGATCTCCTCCATTCGCGGGGGCAGTATGGTGTCAGAGGGAAACATGAAGGGAAGGTCCTCCAAAGGCCCTTCTCTGAAGGTCCAGGTGTTGCCCACAACCCCTTTCATCAGACCTGAGGTGGGACACGGAATGCAGCCTTGGCCGTCTGATAGCGTCGTTTTCGGACCTTTGGTCTGGGAGGTTGCTGTTATGGTGGTGGTCTGCACGCTGTTAGTGAAAGTCTCGAGGTGGTGCGGCAGGCACAGATGCAACAGCTGCATGCCACTCCTGCCTTCGACCTGCCACTCAAATGAGTACTCCTCGCCATTGCTGGCAGCAGACACCTTTATGTCGCCACCGGTGGGCCACACACCTAGACATGACACCCAAGACTTGCCCGGAAGGCACTCTCGCCTTCCACATGTGTACGCACCTGCATGCGCGTCGAATATCTGTCGCTCCTCTGGGCTGGTGATCAGGGCCAGTCGGATGACCCCCGTGAAGGGCTGAGCAGCCCGCAGCCGGCGTCGGCCGTTGGCGAGCAGATCTTGCTCAAACTGGAATCCGAAATCGGGTGTCCCGTCGTTGGCCAGGATATACGCGCGCCATTCTTGCCCATTGTTCAGCTCAATCTGTGCGACGTTTCCCGTCTGGTTGACGTTGAGGATGGCGTGCTGTGTGGCAATGCGGGGGATGGTGTTGGTGTACTTGGCTGTGACGTACGCCATGCCCTGCACGAGGGGCACCTCCATGTGCGTCCGAAAGCCATCGGTCAGCTGCACTTTGGCGCCCAGCAGCGTTTCGCTGGTCACTGAGTAGTTCACCAGCTGGTCTACTGTGCCTGCAACAGACAGACAAAGAGCAGTCAATCATTGACACGCAGCGAAAGCTGTCTTGTCGACCCACCCAGAGTCATGTCTCGAGTGGCGAAGTCATTGAGGTAGTACTGAATGCGATCGTCCATCCCCGGCTGCCCCTCAAATCGCCCCGCGCCCAAAGTCTTCCCCGTCGGCCGCTTCACCTTGACGAGCCAGCTGTCCGTGTCGGCATCCTCCTCGAGCGTGACTGCGAAGGGCAGGGCGTACACGGGGGCCTGGCTGAAGAGCAGGGGGGTCCAGAACTTGTTGGTCGGGATGGGGGGCAGCAGAGTGGTGTTGAACGGAGGCTGGTAGAAGCCCTCGCCCTCTGTGACCCGTGTGAAGCGGGGGAAGAGGGATGTGGGAGGCTCATCGACGGATATGGGCTGCAGCAGGGAGCCACCTGCGAGAGAAACCATGTGAGGGAGGGACAAAAGGAGTGAGGGAGGGACAAATGACGTGTTTCGTGGGATGCCACCTTGCAGTTTTCGGCGTTGCCCGTCAGGAAGGGCGCAGTCCTCTGCCGAATCACACATGATCGATGGCCAAGCGTGAGAATGCTGTGTGATACAGCTTTCCCCTCCAGATCGTCGAGAAAAGACTGCGCGCCAACTGCGAGCTTAGCTGACAGAATTTCCCAGATGCCCCCATATCAAGGCACGGAATACCTCAAAAATGATGTCGGCGAGCAAAGATCCCAGTTTGACGTACTGTGACAGTCCCCTTGAGCAGCCCCGCATGAGCAGCAGCTCTCCTTCGCCGTCGCTGCAGTACGATGACTATGTGCCGGCTCACGACGTCCTCTGCTGCGTCCTCAAGACCAGCCACGACAAGCTCTCGGCCCTCGTCGAGCCTTTCCTCCGCTGCCTCAGGAGGAAAGACGTGCTTGTGGAGGAGCTTGTCGGCGCACCGTGGGGCAGCCGCGCGTTTGTGCTGGACGCTTCGGACGACGTGCTGTTCGAGTACTGTAAGAAATCGAATGAGCAGCTCACGGCAGTGCTGATGAAGCGGAGGGGCTTCACACCCGCAGAGCGGCTGAGACTGATTTGGGCTCTGCTGCGGAGTGTGCAGCTGCCGCCATCGGCGGAGTGGAAGGCGCTGAACCAGACCAAGAATGCCGGAAACAGTGTGGACGATGTGCATCCGTCGCTGCTGCAGGAGTGTGTGAAGGGGGGCTTCATCGAGGAGGTCAGCCGAGGAGGGAGGAGCATTCAAAGCGCCATTTTCATTGTTGTGGTCCTGTGCGGTTTGTCGGTTCTGGCAGTAGATCACGCCTTTGCACTGTCCCCGATGGCGCGCAGAGGTCGAAGAGCAGTGGATAGGTCAGAAAGAATCCCGCAAACACCCACACAAGGAAGTCACGTTGAGTGTCCTCTCTCTTAGCGTCTCTCCTGGTGTTGGGTGGCAGCGATGCGTTGCTGCGGCGGCTGGCCTCCTACTTTGGCGAGAAACTTGGAGTGTATTTTGCCTTCATGCAGTGCTACACCCGGTGGTTGGCCGTGCCTGCACTGGCGGGCACCGGCATATTCTTGGCGCAGACACTGGGCTACTGCAATCAGGTGAGCGAGTGTGTGTGCGGGCATCATACGGGAGGCGGCCGCATGTGGCATGTGTGTGTCTCTGAGTGAAGGTCGGTGCAATTGTGATGTGGGTCGTTCTGTCCTTGTGGTCGACGCTGTTCATCGAAGCGGGATGGTGAGGCGGGCACACACAATGCGCAGGGCTGTCTCGCAATGGTGCGTGCCTGCCTGTGTCTTTTTGTGTGTGTGTGTGTGTGTGTGTTGTGAAGGCAGCGTCGTCTCGAGAAAATGAAGGTGTCGTGGGATCTGTGGCGGTATGACGATGCACAAAAGTGAGTCAGCGTCACAGAGGGGATAGGGCTGCGAATTAGTTGGCTGGCTGGCTGCCACGTTGGTCCGCTTGGCTGCTGCATGCAGAAATGCTGGTGACGTCCAAGACATGGCCGACTGCGCCCCTGCCACAGACATAAATACTGGTCAAATATGCCGGCCAACAGACAGACAGACAGACAGACACGTCGTCTGTTCTCTCTTATCCCCTTGAATGTAGGCAATGAAGTGTTGCGACGGCTGCTGTGCCTTGCGCCGCTGGTTCTCTTTCTGGTGTTCAGTGTGGTGGTGCTGTGGGTGCTGCTGACCACACGCGACATGCTGCAGGAGTGGTTCGAAAGAGACCTGCAGCTGCCACGAGTGGTGGCCGCACAGGTGCCGGGCCTCCTCTTCACCGGATGCAAGATCGTGCTCGATGGAAAGTGAGTCGAGTCCAGACAAATCCTTGGGGCCTGATTTCTCTCTGGTACCGTGTGTGTGTTTGTGTGTGTAGGGGCAAGCAGGTGGCCGTTGCTCTGAACCGGGCTGAGATGCACTATACGCCAAGCGCACGGGAGAACGCTCTGATAATGAAGCTGATGTTGTTCCAGTTCTTTGAGAACTTCCTTCTGTTGCTCTTCATCTGCTTCTGGCAACAGGCACTGAAATGAGACACGCTTATCATCCATTCATGCATCCCTTGTCTCGTGTCCATCTGCAGGATTTGGTGCAACTGTGTCTCGAGGTCACTCTTGACTTCAGCATGAGACAGGTGGGCAGATGATGCCTGCCGCGGGTATACATTTGTCGCATTTCCTCTTTTCCACTCTTCCTGAGCAGATGATCCAAAACTCAACAGAGGTCGGCATACCCTTGTTCAACGGTCTCTTCAAGATCCTCATCGCTCCCATCCTCTACAGCCTCGTCAAAACACTCTCGGCTCCACTCACGGCCGTCAATCGTGCCATCACGGCCGTCTCACGCTGCTTTCTGGCCTATGTGCCCTTCGCCGAGAGGCTCTGGGGAATTTTCCTTGCCACGTCGCTGGGGGAGCAGCTCCAGGGGCTTATTGACAGCATCCCCACCTTGGAAGAGGTGTTCATGCAGGAGAGGCGCGCTGGCCTCATGCGAAAGAGCGTCACTTTCATCAAGAAAGACCGGCCGTCTGTGCTGCCGGCGATGCTGGACACACCTAAGGGCCAGCTGGGGATGGACGAACACGATCTCTTCGGCGAGTATGCAGGTGCGGTGCGCGAGAGACATAAGGTGATGCGTACAGGGACGGATGGATGGCATCGTGTGTGCACATTTCATCAGAGATAACGACCCAGTATTTTCTTCTGCTGGCCTTTGGGCCGTTTCTCCCTTTGACGGCGCTGTTCGCCTTTCTGAACACGGTGGTCGAGTTCCATCTCGACATATTCAAGACATCCAGACTCACAAAGGTGAGATGAACGACCAGTGCCAAATGTCTCCTTCCTTCTGTCTCCTCCCCTCAGCGCCCGATGCCGTCAGTGGACACAATGGAGGTGTGGGTGAAGGTCTTCTCGGCGATATCCTTCGTGGCTGGCTCGATCAACATCTTCCTGCTGCTGGTGTTCCTTCCCGACCACTTCCTGCCTTCATCCCTCGTCATTGTGGGGCGGCGCGAGCCCATCGGGCCGTGTGGGCGTGTGCTGCTGGCGATAGTCCTTGAGCACTTCATGATATGCATGCAGGTGCTCATAGCCCTGAGCATCCCCCACCGGCCGGTGGAGGTGCAGATTGCACTGGACCGGGAGAAGAGGAGAAAGCACAAGAGGGCATAGGCAGCTGGGCAGGTGTGTGTTCAATGTGTGGCGACCTTGTGGTTTGTGGTGTGACATTGAAGGAGCGTGAACTGCAATGGACACAGCACAGTGTCACACTGCAATGCATATCACACTGAGGTGGAGCGAGGAGACAGTCTGGCATATTAAGTGGCGAGTTTGCTGGCCAGAGAAATAAACTGAGCATCCGATCATCGTACCGTCGATCTTACAGGTTTTTCGATGTCTGCGTGCGTCACCTCGTGTGTTCTCTGTCGCGGCTGTTTCTCGATTTGATTCTTCCCCTCCATCCCAGGGCCCGTTACCGTAGCCAACCAACCACCATTCGCAGTTTGCGAGCTCCCGATCTCGGGGGGAAACTGTCATTAACCGTAACACTCGTCTGTGTGTCCGTGATACTCATACAAATACAGTCCCATCAGCACGCAGAGTCAAACAGGCTCAAGGGGAGGAGGGATCAATCCCCGCCCCATCAGCACACCCCAGTCCCGCAAACCCTCCCCTCCCTCCCCCACGCAGACAGAAGCTAGTCGCTCCCGATCTCTGATGAGTGGATCTGTCGATGAGATTATACCACAGGGATTTTTCCATGATGACTCGGAGGATCAGCGGAAGCTGTGCGCCAGGTACTCGCTTCAATGAAACGAGTACTGAGCAATTTGGCGTACTTGTCGTTTCGCAGGTCGGTGATTGGGCTGCCTCCCCCTCAGCCGCTCACACCAGTGCCATTGGTGCGGCTTTTGTGGGTCAGCCCGGTATCAGCGTCGGTGTTCCAGTCGCCGAGTCGTTGGATGACTGCACCAATGGCGAGCATCCAGAACAGGTGCACATGATCGGACGAGGTGCACTCGTTCCTGTCTGGTATCATGTGGGTGGCCGCCTGTGTGTGCGTTCAGTATCCTTACCCCTGCAATGGCTTGCCGCCCTTCCCCCTGCCCTTCTCCCATATGGAGCCGGCCGAATCGTCACGGCATCGTGCGGAGTCCCTCCCGCCATCCAATCGTGAAGCAAGAGCAAGGACCTCACAGTCCTCTCAGGTGAAACACTCTTACGAATACAGATGTTCTGTGAGCATGTGCTGACGCTCTGCATGTTTGCGTTCAGGTGTCCAAGAGGGCAGGGGAGGTCACAATTGGCGAGCGGCTGCAACTCGTGAATGAATTCGAGAGGCGGAAGAAGGACGGCGACACTATCAGCATGCCGCAGTTTGAGAAGGAAAAGGGAATCACTCACGGGAGGTTCAAGCAGTGGTACGCTGCTGTCAAAAGGCAGAAGGAGGCCGGCACCCAGGTGATCGACCCGACCAAGAAACGCAGCAGGGAACCGAAGTACCTGCCGATTGAGGACGAGATGCGCGAATGGATGGCCGGCCATGATGACCACGCCAATGTCCCCCCCAAGGCCATCAGGACCAAGGCCATGGAGGTCGCCGCTCGGCTGGGAATCGGTGACTTCTCGGCCAGCGACTCCTGGATCAAGAGGTTCAAGATACGATACCAACAGGTAAGAGCGTACCACCATTTAACGGAATTGCGATGGGAGAATGAGGCCTCTCTGTGATGCGCTGCAGGGTCAGGCGCTTGACGAGTCAGCTACGGCGGATGGATTCATCGGGCAAGTCGGCCTCAGCCGACGGGTGAACGCACTCAATAACCCGAGAAGATTGCCACTGAGCAGTTTCTTTGCTACCTGGTTGGCTGCAGACCACCAGCTCTGCAGCAGACGAAGACGCGGTGGACCAGCAGTCTGGGCACTCGCGCGTCAACACCGTGAGCGTAAGCCAGGCTACGCTAGCGAGCTCATCTTGTTGGCTAGCATCTTATTTCGCGATCTCGCCACATTTGTCTTCAGATGGTGCCGTCCACGAGCAGATTGACAAACGAGAGGTCGCCCGCAAAGATCCAGAGGAGCGACGAACGCAGCCATAGAGAGGGTCCGCCGTCTCTGGTCAGTTGAAGATAGGATGGACAAATAGAAAGATATCGCTCTCTGCAACGGTTCTTCAGGCGGCGTCATCGGAGCACACTCATCTTGACCTCGCTGACTCGGTTGTCAGCTCCGTGAAACGAAGGGGCGCTTCTGAAGAGGACGATGCTGACCAGAATGGTGGCCCTGCTGCCGCGTTATCGACTGTCGACTCGCTTGGCCTGGAACTGCCGAAGACGCGCGTCCATCGTCGTGACGACAGCGCAAGCAGCTCGGCAGCCCGTGCGACAACGAAGATGGTGTGTCGTCGCGTCCGAGTCAGCCACAGAGAGGTGATGAGTTTGTTGTTTGCAGGAGAAGCTGATGTCCGTCGAGACGGTGACCAAGGAACGAAACCGAAATGATGCTGCCGAACGAATGAAGGTCAGGACACACCAAAGCAATGAGTCACCACGTCGACTTCATTCGTACTCCTTTGTGTGGACCGACTATCCGTTTGTTTCATTCAGCGTGTCGTGGCGGAGGTCGTGGACAAGTCGACTTCGGTGGATCTAGTGACCATGATGGACTGCACGGGGTCAATGAGCGGCTGGATCTCTCAGGCCCAACTCACACTCAACTCCATCATCACCGACCTGCAGGTGCGCTTCTCGCTACCCGACACCTCACCTGTGCGTCCCCAAGCACCTCTCTGTGTTTGTCCTCAGTTGTCCTATCCCCATATGCGCTTCCGTGTGGGTTTCGTCGGCTATCGCGACTTCTGCGACGGGGCTGGCCGGCTGGCCATCGCGCCGCTGACCGAGGATGTCCTCGCCGTCAAGAACATGATCTGCCGCCAGAGTGCCACGGGCGGCGGCGGTGAACCCGAGGATGTGGCGGGCGCTCTCAAGGCTGTGGGTGATATGGCGTGGGAGGCCATGACGCGAGTCGTCATCCACGTTGGCGACGCCCCGCCGCACGGGTTGAAATACCATTATGGTCTCAACGACAGGTGAGCAGGCTACACAACGATGCATACACGTCCTTCTGGTCCTCTTATGTCTGTCTGCATTAGTCACCCTGGTGGCGATCCATACGGCCTTCGCATCGAGCATCTGATGCGTGGTTTCCGCATGATGGGTCTCGACTACTGCTTCATCAAGATCAACAGATCCACCGATAGAATGATCGATATCATGCGCGCTGCCTACGACGACCCGGCCACGTTGCACCAGGTCCGCGTCGAGAACCTCGGCGGAGACACCAGCGGCTTCAAGAGCTTCATCGTGCGATCGGTGAGTGCATCAGGGGCTGAACAGACTGAATGTCTCCGACTTTCCATCTGACCCTTCAGGTGTCTGAGAGCGTTTCTTCGTCTGTCAAGCGCATGTCGATGGCCACAAGAACTCGCCGCAATCACAGCTCCATGTTCATGGGCCCAACCAGCGGTAAGTGCGATCGAGAAGGACGGAGAGGGAGGGGACATCCTCTCCCTGTGGCTGGTAGGCTGGTTGGCTTCCATTGCCGAGGATACGCCTTTAATCACGCGGACCTTGTCGCTTGACACCAGTGCTCCGGCGTGGGACTCATTTACGTCCAAGGTGATGACAGAGAGAAAATCCGACACGGCTATGTGTGTGTATTTGTGTGTGAGCAGGAAGAGGCTCATCGCTATACTTACCACCTGGTGCTCGAGCGCACGAAGAACTGGAACCTCCCTGAGATGATCGTCACAAAGCAGCAGTCGTATTTGCACATCGAGGAGAGGCCGTTTGCGAAGGGAGAGATGCGGTACGCCTTTTACATGAAGGAGCGCATGCTGGACCTCAAGAGGGTGGGCAGGGAGAGAGAGGGGATGGATGGGGAAAACGGACGCCGCATTTGTAATGTGTCTCTTTCTAAGGTGGCCAAGTTGCCGATAGAGTCCTGCCGTGGTGGCGAGGAGCTGCGCAAGGACGTGTTGGCCGACATAGAGACGCAGGCCATCAGCAAGGCACTGGCGAAGGTGTTCAACGAGGCGCTCCTCAAGAAGGGCGTCAAACGCATGATCGACTTCATCGACGTCTGTAAGTCAATCACCAACACACACGGCACACATGACTGACACGTCTTTCATGTGGTATGTGTCAGCTGTGTATGAGTTGCCGTCTCGCGGCGAGAGCGAGCGTTGGGTGACCGTCGAGCCCTTCATGGAGGGGCGCTACCAGAAGTACAATAACAATGACGGGTGGGTCAGCTTGTCCGAGCTGACTCAGGGACAGCTGGCGCAGAGCCAGCTGGCGCAGGCCTTCTCCCACTGGACCTGGCACTTTACGGGGGGCGAGCTAATGGTGAGCATCAAGGGCAAAACGGAGGGAGGGAGGGAGGGAGGCCTGAATGTGTCCCGAATTTTCCTGTGACGTTTAGGTGGTGGACATTCAGGGCGTCAACAACATCTACATCGACCCACAGATCCATTCAAAGGTCAGGCCAGAGAGCTGGACGCCTCAATGGCACACCTGTCGCTGTGTGGTGTCTTCAGGACATGAATTGTTATGGCCTCGGCAACCTGGGCGAGGAGGGCATGGGCAAGTTCTTCGCATCCCACACGTGCAACGAGGTCTGTGTGCGCCTCGGGCTGGACCACCCCAACCCCACGGCGGTTGAGCAGTTTTTGCGCACATTCAAGACTTTTCTTCGTGCCTCTACCGAAGGACCTCAGCCTCGAGGGGAGCGCCAAGCAGGTCGAGCTGCAGATCTCGTGTGAGCTGTGCGGGTCGATATTCGACGTGAGCATGGCAAATGAGGGAGAGGGGAGGCGAGTGCGATGCACTCACTGGTCATCCGTGTGTCGGTCTCTGTGTGTGTCGCAGGTCAACGGATCGCGTTACCTGTCGTTCCGAGAGAAGGGCCGTGACGTCTACTGCCCCAGGTGCGAGGACCGGCTACGCCAGGAGGTACCCAAGAAGGTCAAGTGCGACCGCTGCCACAAGCCCTTCACGTACCCGGCCTCGTGGTACCTCTACAAAGGCATGAAGGAGCCAACCACATGCAGCAGGTGCACCTGCAAGAGGACAGAAGGCCCGGAGATAGGTTGTGGGTATGCCTGTCTGTGCGAATGTGCGTGTCCGTCTGCAGGGGGTCTGAGCAGAGTGTCGGCGTGTATTTTGGCGAGCAGACCTTCAGGCAGAGGGCTGCAAATTTCATCAGAGCATACTTCAATCTACTTCCACGTGAGTGAGTGTCGTGTTTCCCGTGGACGTCTTGTGTTGCTGGGCGGAGGGAGCAGTGAGTGACATTGTGTATCTGCCTACGGTGATGCTGTGTTTGGGGGCAGTAGGCACTTTTTGACCAACTGCCAAGAACTCTCTCTGTGGCCGTCTGATCATGCGACATAGGCATGACGCACATTTGACACGGTAGTTCCTGTGCATGCAGACTGTATGGCTTTACTTCTCACATCAGAGAGAGATGAAGGAAGATCACCGAGAGAAATCACGAGCGGCCGAAAAATCACGCACGCCTGTCTATCAACCTTCGCACCAGTCAGAATGCAATTTTGCTGGAGGACCACACACGTGCAAGGAGAGGCATGCAAACCACTCGCAGTTCTTCCACAAGCACCCATACACGAAATTACATACGAACGAACAGGGAAACAACACACGCCCATCCATCCATCCATCCATCCGTCCACTCATCCATGTGCGTCGTGCACAAGGATGGGTGTGTCGTGTCCTTATGTGAGATTCAGTCAGTGTGTGTGTAGTCCATGTGACACTTCTTCGTATGTATTTGTCAGTGTCAATGCTTGTGTCATTAGGTTATGGTGTACAACACTTGACAGACAGACAGTCGGTCTTCACTCATATCGACACCGACACCACACACATCCATGGGGGGCATGGATCCGCGCACCCACGACACAAATTTGCCACGCCAATGCGAAAGCCCCTCACCCCCCACAGCCTGAGGGCCGACTCAGAAAAAATATCACGAGCCTTCCATCGATTCTTCCTCTTCTTCCTGCTTTTGCTGTGGCCGAGGCTGGTCATCAGTGTCTCCCTCGTTGCCCTCGTTCTCCTCTTCCTTCAAAAATAGCTCGTGATGTTCCCTTTCAACATGCCCAAGCAGCTCACTCTCGGCGCCGAACTTCAGTGCACAGGCAGAGGCCGGGCACGGAAAGGTCGGCACCGGCACAGCCTGGCGCAACTGCTGCACAAGCGTCAGCAAAGCCTCCACAGGCGCCAAAGCCGTCTCCTTGCTCGCCGCATCCACATTGTCCTTCGACGATGACGTCTTCACCAAGGACTCGGCATCATGAACCCATCCGCCATTGTCGTCACCGCCGTCACCGCCCTCTCTCTTATCCCAGTTCCTCAACGTGGTCTCGAGGCAGCTGAGCTGGGCATGCAGGATTTCCAAGTCGCTGGGATCCCACTGCAGGTGCCGATCGAGGGCGAGGTTGGTGAGGACTTTGCATGCGAGTCCCACGAGCTCTGCGTCTCGTTCCCTGGCGGCGTCTCGTATGAGCTCGACCAGCCTGGGTATGAGCCCGATGCCGTCGGCGTCGGCACAGTCGGTGGACAGCAGCCGCTGCGAGCAGTCATGGTCAGCTGCTAGGTTCACCAGCACACCTGATTGATGATCGACCACCACATGGACGTCTGTCTGTCTGTCTCCCATGTGTGTCGTGTGTCGTGTGTGGTGGGTATCGCCGCACCTGTGATGTAGTAGACCAGGTCTCTGTACGTGTGGTCGAGCAGCAGCACCAGGGCCTCGTCGATGCGAGACTCCTGTAACATCAGTCGCACGTCCTGGTGACGCGACAGGTTGCCCAGCGCCCTGGCTGTCTCCATCAAGGCCTCGGGATTGGTCGTGTCCAATAGCAGAGGACGGAAGAGAGTGCACAGCTGCACACACCCAGACGAAAATGAAATGGCGGTTCTGTGCGAGAGAAGGGAGTACCAGTCGCTTGTTGTTGCTCTCAAACAGGATGTTCGACGGCGAGTCGTAATAGAGAAGGTTGGTCAGTGCGGCCACGGCATTGAGGATCAGCTCCTCGTGCTGCTGCACCTTCTTGGACCCCATGACCTCTAGAAGGGGCTCGACCAGTGCTGACGTGGCCGCAGCCATGGTGCCGACAGACGTGTTGATGCACACATTCGCCAGCAGCCTGATGACCTTGACCAACACATCCTCCACCTCCCTGTTGTTTGCAGAAAGGAGACGCTGTCATCGAAACGGCTGTCTCCTCGTGTGCTTAACTCACTCTCTGTCGGCTCCCCTGAGCTTTTCCTTCCCTTCCGGCCCCTCAATCAGACGAATCTTCCGATCCTGCACACATGGTTGGAAGCAGTCTTGCACGACCCGTTTCCAGTGCCTGCGTGTCAGCCTCCCACAGCCACACATGTACCAGCTGCAGATATCTGTGGAGAAGTGCCCCGAGCAGTGCGGACCCCTGGCAGTCGAACATGAGCTGTATGCGCGCCCGATCGCTCTTGGCCGTCAGGTTGCCCAGCACAAAGGACAAGCGAACCACCAGCTGGCCGTGATCCATGTGGCTGCCCAGACACCTTTCACACACAGGACACGGAGACACCGACGAAAAGATGTCGCGGTTATTCAGCTGCTCACTCACTTGGCGGTTTGTTTGACGTGTGCGTCGTTCTGCGAGAGGATCTCGCAGCACGTGTTTGTGAGCGAGAGCTTGCTGAGCAGCCTGGAGATGTTGAGCAGCAGCTCGGGCGAGGTCTGGAACAACGGCATGAGGCCCGTCAGCGCCGCAAGCACGTCGTGCATCACAAACTGACACACACACACACGATTTGTGTGTTGTCACTGTGGCAGTTAGTTGCTCACATACCTGTTTGTGGTGCTTTGACGAGACGGCGAGATTCCTCAGCGTGCCAGTAATTTGGATCAAGAGCTGCGCCTCCCTCGCACTCCCCGCAAAGTGGGTCTTCTTGAGGAGGTCCGCAAAGGTCTTGATGGCTGCATGCCAGAGGGACAACCAAGCAAAGTGGGGAGATGCATTGCCTCCCTGTGGCAAGAAGTCGTACCTCCCTGCTGCACCATGGCAGCCTGGTTCGCAGCATCGTGTGAGGTGACATTCTTGAGGACACCCGCCACAAACACACGCAGCTCGTGATCGCCATCACTTGACAGAGAAGGAGGAGGCAGCATCGTGCCCTCGTCGTTGCCCGCCTGAACAATGTCATCAATAGGTGCACAATGGCATGTGACTGCTGTGTGTGGCCTGGTCTACCGACCATGGCGGCAGGAGAATGGCGGGATAGGATGGCCAGCAAAGGAGCAAAGATGTCCTCGTCACGGAAACGGGCGTCATTCTTGTCGTCTGCAAGACGAGACGTGCCGTTATGCGGCATTGCTCCTCCCTCTTCACTTGTTCCCATCTCTCTCCCTCTCACCTTTACTGAGCTTCAATAGAACTTTGACTGTGTTGATCAAGCCGGCCTCGAGACCACGACCGCCGATGGCGTCGCGGGCTCTGAATGAGAAGCCAGATGCAGCAAGCATTGTTTGGCCTCGGTTTGTGGTGGCCCAGGCACTCACTCTTCCATCAGGAGAAGCTCCAAAGCGCAGCGGCACAACCGAAACATGCCCTGATCGAAGTTTTGCATATGTCCACAGAATCGATCATGGGTACATGTGTGTGTCAGTATGTCGACCTTTTCGTGCTTGAGGTCGAGAAGACCCATGACAGCTCTGAGCAGCTGCTCAGCCTGACCGCCGCACCTATGGGGGCTGCCGCACCCTGAGACAGACATGTATGTGTCAAACGTTTCCCCTTTGCTGTCTGTCTGTCTGTCTGGCTGCCTACCTGCCTGCCTCCTCCGGCCTACCTGATTTGAGGTCTTTCACGAGGTCCCAGAGCCTCTCGCTCATCTCGCCTGTCAGCTCCTCACTGCGGGAAGCGTACACAATATAGAGGCGGCATTCTCTTTCACCCCCCGCACTCACCTGCACAGCTGTGGGGGCTCCGACACCACTAGCTGATGCAGCTTCTCTGACAGAACAACAACACAGTGTGCTTCCCTTCCCAGCATGCTGAAGCTGCCGAGCTCTCTCACCCATGACGACGTCAAACTGCTCGTCCCATTCGTCCGCCACGACCTGTCTCGAGGACCGAGACTGTCGCCTGCTGTCAGGCCTTGCACCTCTCGGCTCACTCGGGGGCACGGGCGTCACCTGAGGAGGTGAGCTCGCCTCGCTGGCAGGGGGAGCTGCTGATGACCGCTTGGAGTGTTTCTTTTCTCGCCGCCTTGTGTGGCCCGTGTGTGACTCTGTGGACTCCAGAAATCCCTGCGGAAAGGAAAAACCACCATGCTATGATGCACGTGTCATCAAGTCACTGCCCGCAACAGGGAAAGCCTGTCCCACGTGTTCAGTTAGCGAGCCGGTCCGCGACCGTGGTCTTGGGAGGGGCTCTTCCGTGACAATGCTCTTGGCCATGCTGTCGCGTCTCGGCCCTCCGACCCCGATCCCTCCCACCGAGTGTCTCCTGTGTGTCTCCGTGATGAACTCGTTCTCGTCGTCGAGTGTAAGGATGTCGACGCCATCACCGGACGACAAAGCGGGAGGAAACTCAGGTACCGCCTACACGACAACAAAAATGGCCGCGGCAACGAACAAGAAAGCCGTGTTCTGTGTCGGCTTGCCTCGGGGATGCTTCCGAGGGTGGTTGCGGACCCCGAGCCCCTTCTGGATTCGGCGAAAGTCTCCTTGAGCATGTTGAGGTGGTGCAACGAGTAGCTGGAGCTGGGCCGGGGCCCATCCCCCAGCCCCATGTCGAGAGACGGCTGGAACAGAGACCTGAACGTACCAACCACAGATATACATGCATTTGGACCTTATTCCGGTCTGTGTGTCTCTCTTACCTGTCCACAAGCGGCGTATAGGGGCGCGAGGGCTGCACAACACAAAAGAACAAAGTGAACAAAGTGACACCCATGAGGGCCAATTGTAAGGGTCATATAAGAGCCTGACTCGCCTTGGCGAGTGATGCGTACGCCCTGGCCTCCTTGATTGTGTGTGCAATGGTGGAGCGCCGTATCTGCTTTATCATCGGATCATCACTGCCGTCTTCATCAAAGGTGCCGAAATCCACGGCCGAACTCCTCATCGCAGCCGATTTCAGAGAGGAGACAACGAGAAGAAGATCTCGAGGCTCCTATATCACTGTGGCGTGGGGAGAAGAAAAGCTGCCGCCAGTTTTGATGCTCGCAGTCTCGCGAGCTTAGCTCACAAACAGGGAGAGGCGGTCAGATACACGCGGCGAGGATGTGCGGGATCTTCGCAATATTGATGTCCACCATGGACGAATCGACTCTGCGGGCCAGGGCACTGGAACTCTCCAAGAGGTGAGTGAGGCAAGACCAGATGAAGCACACATTTCCTCCACGGACAGAGATCTCACCTGCCTGTGTATCCATCTGCTTTGCTGCGGCAGGATCCGGCACAGAGGGCCTGACTGGTGCAGTCAACGCACAGCAAGCAACACACAGATCAATCAATCACACAGCACCGTCAGTCACACTCCGTGTGTGTGTTGTGCAGGAGTGGGATTCACGTGCAGTCTGGGAAGAACGGGACGCTGAATGCCATCTGCCACGAGCGGCTGTCCATCGTGGACCCGTTCTCGGGCAAACAGCCGCTCTTCGACGTCACCGGCAAAGGTGAGTGAGGAAGAGTCAGTCACCCAGATAGATAAGATCAGACATCAATCACCTCACAGCCGTAGACGTCCGTCTGGTCCTGATGCGTGTGCTGCTGTGGGTGTGTGTTGGTCCTGCAGTATGTGTGTCTGTGAACGGCGAGATCTACAACCACATGGAGCTCAGGAAGGAGCTCGACGAAGAGACCGTCAGCCACTTTCGCACCCAGTCGGATTGCGAGCCCATCGCACATCTCTACAAGAGATTCGGGGTACGCTCAGCTCAACACAATCTTCCCGTTGCTGCTGCCCCTCTGCACAACAGAGACTGTGTGTATGGTCTATTGTGTTGCTGTGCTGCTACTCAGGAGTCGTTCGTGGCCAAGCTGGATGGCATGTTCGCCTTCATTGTGAGCGACGCGGCCACGGGAGAGTTCATGGCGGCGAGGGACCCGCTGGGCATCTGCCCCCTCTACATCGGCCATGGACCCGACGGATCTGTCATGTTCGGCTCGGAGATGAAAGGTGGGTGGGTCGGTGGACCGATGGTCGGTCGGTACGTGACAGACAGCTCTGTACGTGTGGGTGTGGGTGTGCAGTGATGTGGGATGCGTGCAACCATTTCGAGGTCTTCCCCCCCGGGCACATCTACTCGTCAAAGCTGGGGGGGTTCAAACGGTGAGCGACCGAGTAAGCACCGACCGTCCCACCCGTGATGGCCTGCCTCTCTCTCTCTCTCTCTGTGTGTGTGTGTGTGTGTGTTCCCAGGTGGTACCATCCCTCATGGTTTCCTGAGGACTCGCCCATCCCCACTGCCCCGCTCGACCTCGACAAGCTCAAAGACGCACTCGAAAAGGCAGTCGAGAAGAGACTCATGGTGACTTCGCTGCGACAAACAAATGCCCGTGCTGTCTGACCACCTGCCTGCATATGAGTGTGTGTGAGTGTGTCAGTCTGACGTGCCCTTTGGCGTGCTGCTGTCTGGCGGGCTCGACTCGTCCCTTGTCGCGTCCATCGCCAGCAGGATCCTGGACCGCCAGCGTGCGCAGCAGGCGAGTTCGAAGGAGTACCAGTCCAAGGCATGGTTCCCAAGACTGCACTCCTTCTCCATCGGCTTGCCGGACTCGCCTGACCTCGCTGCCGCTCAAAAAGTGGCTGGTGAGTGAATGACGTCAGGTGTCCGTCAGGGGGGCAGGAGTGAGTCGTGTGTGGTGTAGATTTCCTGGGCACTGTTCATCATGGGTTCACCTTCGAGCTGCAGGAGGGGCTCGACTCACTCAAGGTGATGCACTTGCCGTGCCAGAATTGAGGCGCAACAAACAGGGCAACTGTCCATCGTGTGTGTGGTGTGAGTGCAGGACGTGATATATCACCTGGAGACCTATGACGTGACGACCATTCGCGCCTCCACGCCCATGTACTTCCTGGCCAGGAAGATCAAATCAATGGGCGTCAAGATGGTCCTCTCAGGTCAGCTCACTGAGCTGACAAACACCCTCGCAATCGCAATCGCACCCACCCACACGCACTCCCATCCCACAGATAGATGTGCTTTGTGTGTGCGTCGTGCAGGTGAAGGAGCTGACGAGGTGTTTGGCGGCTACCTCTACTTCCACAAGGCGCCCAACAGAGAGGAGCTGCACCGAGTGAGTGCATACCCAGATGGATGGTCGGGGGGGGGGGGCCCGGGGGGCACCTGAGAATGTCGATGTGTGGTTACAGGAGACGCAGAGGAAGCTGAAGTTGTTGCACATGTACGACTTGCTCCGCGCCAACAAGAGCACGCAGGCGTGGGGGCTCGAGGCGAGAGTACCCTTCCTCGACAAGGCGAGCACTCACACACACACATCCACACACACACACACACAGACATTCCTGACTGACAGGTGGGCGCCCCTCTCTCTCTCCCTCTGTTCGTGTGATTATCGACAGGAGTTTCTGGAGGTGGCGATGCATTTCGATCCGCAGGAGAAAATGTGCGTGCCGGGCAAGCGTATCGAGAAGTGGCCCATCCGCGCCGCATTCGCGGAGGGCAACTACCTCCCAGACGACATTCTCTGGAGGCAAAAGGAACAGTTCTCAGGTCGGGATATGCACCAAGCAAATCTATGATAGGTCGACGTGGACTGAGTGCATTGGTCGGCTGTGTGTGTGTGTCTTATTGGTGTGTAGATGGCGTTGGATACAGCTGGATTGACGGTTTGAAGGACTATGCGGAGAAGCAGATCAGCGACCACCAGTTCCAGGGGGCCAGGTTCCAGTTCCCGTATAACACACCACAGACAAAGGTACCTAGGTACCTACCTTGCCACGGGCCTGCCTGCACACATGGCTTACACATCGATGGATGGATGGATGGATGTGTGTGTGTGTGTGTGTGTGCCCTCAGGAGGCGTATCTGTTTCGGCAGATATTCCACTCCTTCTTCCCGCAGCACAGCGCCACACAAACGGTAGGCGGAGGACACGTGGTCTTACACACACGCACAAGAGCCCATCCATCCATCCATCCACCAGGTGCCCGGGGGCCCCTCTATCGCCTGCTCCACGCCCGCAGCCATCCTGTGGGACCAGTCTTTCAGGTACGTCATCGGATGCACTGCACTGCACTGCAAGCACCGGCACATCATAGCACACAGGCCATTGGTCCATGTGTGTCGGTGTGTGTCTGTGTCTGTCTGTGTGTGTGGTCGGCAGTGCCAACGCGGATGCGTCGGGCCGCGCTATGCTGGGTGTGCACCTCCAGTCCAAGGAATTCGACGACGCCAAGAAGGCGTCGGCCACATCGGCCGCAGCGGACCAGACACAGAAAGGGCAGCCGATGACCAACGGGACCCCAGCTGCTGCTGCTGCCGTCCACACGTAGTGAGTGAATGCCATCGTCGACGGATGGATGGATGGCCCAGGATGGGTGTGTTTTATTTCCTTGTTGGTTCTTCGTGTCACTCACGTAATTTCGTGTAGTGGATGGCTGGCTCATGGGAGCAAGGCCGACTTTTTGCCGGCACGGACATATGCCTGTAGGCGGCCTGCGCGCCTCTGCTTGAGTGTGCGTTGCTTTGTGAGTGAGGGGGATCGTTCCAGCAGAATTGCATTCTGACTGGTGCGATGGTCGACAGACAGACAGACAGACAGACAGGTATGTCTGCAGGATTTTTCGGCCACTGGTGAACTCGCTTTGACTATGTGAAGATGTGATCGCGAGAGATCTCCAAGGGAAGGCAAAAGAATGGAGAAATGAACCGACCGAGAATCTCGGCGAGAATTCGGATTCTCGCCGTCTCGAGACGGTTTTTAATTCTCCGCGCCAGCTCTCCTCATTTCTCACTGTCCGGGAAGAGATACGTCCCCTTGGGAAGAGATACGTCCTTCATTGCAAATGGTACGTTCTTGGGAACCCGGAAAAGGGAGGGGTAGCACAGTTGGGCCTCTTGCTTTCGCTCTCGTCAGTCTGCCGAGGCTGCTGCAGCACCTGGTCACCGAGGGACGACAAATAGTCGTACAAGTGGCGGAATGTCCGGCGCTCGAGGGGGGCCGAGAATTGGCCGAGACGGCAGAGAAAAATTGAAACCCCGCAGAGCAGCTGAAAGGATGAACCTCAACCCCTCTCGTCCCGGCTGCAGCCGAGTCGACGTCCAGGAGCAGGACATCCTAGGCGCAGTCTTTCAAAGGCCGCACAGGCATCCGGGAGAGATCCCGCGCCCACCCTGCGTGTGTTGTTTCCTGCCATTCAGGGGTATATGCTGCGGCTGCGGCTTCGGCCAAGGCGACGAAGACGAGGAGGAAGAGGCGTCGTTCAGGTGGCACACGAAGCGCCGCCGCCTTATCGAAACCATCTCCAACCGTGAGATCTACCGCACAGACCACACAACATGCATTGTCGTGCCCTTGAACTGCTCCCTGCCTGGATGTCTGACAGAACACCATGTGATAGCGATGATGGACCGGACTCTACGTTGTGTAAGTCGATGAAGAAAAAAGTCAAGATGTGCGCACACGTGTGTGTGTGTGTGAGCAGTACGGTGCCAAGATTGAGAGGCTGCGTAATGCGTTGGCCAAGTCAGCCGAGGAGCACAGCACCGCGATGGGCCAGGTGAGCTGGAATGGTGCAGGGAGGGAGGGGTCAGTGAGGGAATGGGCAGTGGGTGCACTGCACTGCACTGATTGGTCTGGAGAGAGAGAGATGGATGGATGCACTGATTGTCGACGGCATTTCATGCCTGCGTCTGTGTGTGTGTGTTGGCTAAGGTGCAGTCTACGGTCGAGGAGGTTAGACGGGACAAGGACCGTCAGCTGGAGCAACGCAAATCGGACATCGACCAAGTGGGTGGATCATGAGACGAGCGAGGCGGGCGCACACACCCATACACTCACAGACATACATCCACACACACACAAATCCCTCTGTCCCTCCCTCCCTCCCTCCCTCCCCCCCTCCCTCTCTCTCTCTTTGTGTCTGTCGGTCGGTCGGTCGGTCGGTCTGTGTGCGTGTCGTCAGGTTGAAGGTCTCTTGACGACGACCCGTGAGCAGCTTCGACAGGCCGAGGACGACAAGAAACGGTCAGTCAGGGAAACGCCAACACACAGACACGCACGCACGCACGCAGCACACCAAGCCACCTGTGTGTGTGTGTGTGTGAGCAGTACTCTGCTGAGATTGAGAGGCTGCGTAGTGAGTTGAGCAAGTCGACGGAGGAGCACGGTAGCGAAGTCGCCAAGGTGAGTTGGAATGGTGCAGGGAGGGAGGGAGGGAGGGAGGGAGAAAGGTACATAATGAATGAATGGGCGGTGTTGTGGGTGCACTGATTGATGACGTCTGTGAGTGTCTGTGTCTGTGTGTGTGTTGGTTCATTCAGCTAAAGTCAAGTCTGGAGCAGTTACGAAGTCTCAAGGACGGCCAGGTGGACAAGCGCCAAGCCCAGATCGACGAGGTGGGTTTATCTGGACATATCATGAGACGAGCCAGGCGCATTGCACACACCAACAAACTGACAGACAGACAGACACCCACGTGCTGCGTGTGTGCCTGTATGTACTGTATATGTGTGTGTGTGAGCAGCTTCAGATCCAGATCGCCATGTGGCGCGAGAAAAGGCGTCGGAAGTGGCACAGGTGAGTGAGTTGTCCTGGTTGGTCAGCGAGGCCATCACACACACACACACGCACATCTCTCCCTCCCTCTGTCTTTGTGTCTGTCGGTCGGTCAGGTTGAAGGTGTTCTGCAGACGACCCAGGATCGACTTCGGCAGGCCGAGGCGACCAACGGAGAGGTCAGAGAAACACCCCCACACAAACACAGACACGTACGCATGCAGCGCACCAAACCATGTGTGTGTGTGTGTATATGTGTGTGTGTGTGAGCAGCACTCTGCTCAGGTGGAGAGACTGCGGGCCGAGTTGGGCAAGTCGGCCGAGGATCACGGTAGCGAAGTCGCCAAGGTGAGTTGGAATGGTGCAGGGAGGGAGGGAGGGATGTGGTGAATGGATGGGCGGTGGGTGCACTGATTGATGACGTCTGTGAGTGTCTCTGTCTGTGTGTGTGTTGGTTCAGCTACAGTCGAGTCTCGAGGATTCCGACGTGACAAGGACCGTCAGCAGGACCAACGCCAAGCCAACATTGACCAGGTGAGTGGATCATGAGACGAGCGAGGCGGGCACACACACCCACAAACTAACAGACATACATCCACACACACACAAATCCCTCTCTCCCTGCCGCTTTTGTCTCTGTCTGTGCCTCGGTCAGGCTGAGGGCCTTTTGCAGACGACTTGCCAAAAGAGGACACTCTCAAAAATCGCTGCTTACATTTTATATGGAACGAGCCGTGTCTCTTACCATCTGTGTGTGTGTGGTTTGTGAGCAGTACTCGGCTGAGAATGGGCGCCTCCGCAACGAGTTGACGAGGATGAGCCAGGAGTACAGGACGGAGTTGAGCAAGGTGAGTTGGAATGGTGCAGGGAGGGGGTCACTGAGGGAATTGGGACGGTGGGTGTGTGGGCCGGTGGGTGGGACGGTGGGTGCACTGCTTGCTCTGGAGAGACATGGATGGCTGGATGGATTCTGTGTGTCTGTGTCTGTGTGTGTGTTGGTTCAGCTCAAGTCGGGTTTGGAGGCCGTCGAGAGTGACAAAGACCGCCAGCTGGACGAGCGCCAAGCGAACCTCGACCAAGTGGGTGGATCATGAGACGAGCGAGGCGGGCGCACACACAAACTAACAGACATACATCCACACACAAATCCGTCCCTCTGTCTCTATCCAACACACACACACGTACACACCACGGCAACTCTGTGTCTGTGTGTGCTTCAGAGGCGCCGCCCACAGATTCGCCCTGCTTTCGAGCGCTATAGCCCGCCGCGCCACACAGAGGTCTCCATGCCCTCCAGACACACACGCCGTGCCCCGCAGACACACACGTCTGCCCCCTCCTCGAGACCAGGAATCCAGGTATGCATTGGGCACACACACAGCTGGCGAAAAATGAATTGTGTGTGTCTGCATGGCAGACCATGTTGGGGGAGATACGGCCTGAGTTGCGCTTTAGGGAGAACGGCGGGCGCAATATGCCAATCAGGGTAATTGAGACCAGAAGCACTCACTGTCTGATAGACGTTTGTTGATTCGTTGGTTGTTCCTCTTATCAGGGGTGATCATGATGGGACGGTGATGACGGTGCGTGTGTGTGTGCAGCTGCAATTGCTGCAGCTGTGATGACTGACTGCTTTGCTTTTCGGACATACATGTGGGTAGGATGCATGTGTCATGCGCCCAACACACTTGCAAGTAAGTGTGTGTGTACTGTGTGCTGGGGGGCCGAGAAAGGGAGAGGACTGACCGAGAGAGGAGAGACAGCAAAGAGGCAGACACACAATGCGTGGGCTTCGCTTTCATCTGTATGTAGAATGGCTGCCTACATTTTACATCTGAATGAGCCGTGTCTCTCTGTTGCGCGTGTTCGTGTTGATGCTGACGGTGTGTGTAGGTGTGTATGCCCTGTGCAGCTGTGATGACTGACTGACTGACGTGCTTTGCTTCCCGGACATAAATTGTCGGTCTCTAGGATTCAGAAGGTCCGATTATTCTAGTCACTAGTCAGGTGTCTGAACACAACAACCACTGCGAGCGTTAATGCCACCCAGCCCCGACCGACCGAACCCTTCTCTCTCCCCCAGCCCAACAATAAAAGAGAGAAAAGGTGGACAGATGTGAACTCGCTTTAAAAGGGAACTCGCTTTAAGTATGTGAAGATGGGTATTGGAGCCACAGCCCAAGTAACAGAATGACAGACACAAGCAGGGCGGCACGCGACATCGGAGATAGGAAGACCCATGATAGCAAGCGTTTCCGGTGTCGGGAGCGGCTGAAAGAACGCCCATTGCAAGGAAAGGACAGATGGCGGGTGTGGTGGAGTCTCAGATCGGGGGGCGGATGGGGGTCTCGCGATCGTAAAAGGAGGATGGAATCGTTGTTCGGCCGCTTTTCAGCGTCTCGAGAGGCCGCCGCGCCCTGCTCTGATGCCATGACTGCTGCCCCGCCCGTCCTGCATGAGAGCTTCATGCTCATCGACTCAGCGGAGCACCTCGCTGTCGACGGAGTGGATGATCTATGCCGCCGGCTGGGGTGCGCGAAGGACCTCAAAGTGAAGGTCGTGAGGTAGGTATGCAGTGCGGCGAGAAACAAGCACGAGAAAGGCATGAGAAGGATTGATCTGTGGACGTATGTTGCAGCATCTTCGGGAACACGGGCGAGGGCAAGAGCCACACACTCAATGAGATGTTCTACAGCGGAGAGGAGGTCTTCGTCACGTCAAGCAACCAAATGGCAGGTACGGTCAAGGACACACACAAGGGTGTGCGCCCGTCTGTATCTCATCATCCGACCTCTCACTGCTGCAGCAACGACCGGCGTTTGGGCGTCGCTGTGGGATGGGGCACCGGAGGGATGTGAGAGCGTCCTGGTGCTCGATACAGAGGGGATGCTGGGGGTGACTGACAAGGCTCACGCCCGCACAAGGATGCTGCTGAAAGTGTTGGCCATCAGCGATGTCATCATCTACAGGAAGTGGGGCGAGAGGCTTACAACAGGTACGCAGGAGCGGCAGGAAAATTGAGAGAATGTCCATATTCATTTGTGTGAGCGGATCGTTCTGGTACATGCAGATGTGTTTGAGTTTCTGAACGAGGCTTCCGTCGCCTACAACACCCATTTCGCCGATGAGCTGCGGCGTGTGAGCGAGGCCCAGGGGATGCCCACCCAGTCTCTCGGCGCCGCTGTTATCATCTTCCACGAAACGCGCTTCACCCAGCCACTGCGGGAAGACACACAGCCAGACAACACCGCAGCCAAGCCGGGATCACCCAAGAGGGGCGACCGACGGCTCAAGGCCCGCAGCTTCGCTGTCAATGGTGGCTCGGCTGCCAGAGCGACTGACCACAGGAAACGGCCACTCGATTGGCCTCGGACGTCGGAGTTCCTGTTTGTGGCCACCGAAGCGGCGGACCCCTCGATTCCTGGCGATGCGGCGGGCGCGGCGAGTGCAGGTGTTGAGAAGCAAGGCGAGGAGGGGGACAAGGCGGCGGCTGCAAAACCTTTATCCAATGTTTCGGTGCTCGATAGCATCGTCTTTTTCGGTATGCGTGACAGCAGCTGTGCGGCTGTTTGTGTGTGCGGGATTGGTGTGTGCGTTGGTTGGTTGGTTGGTTCAGATGTGTTCAAAGGGCTTTATCGACACGGCATTGAGGGCTGCCAGGACGCCCCTGTCTTCGAGGCATTCAGGTGCACACAACGCAACACACGCATGGGAACACGAACTCTCTCGACCCCCCAAACCACCAAATGTGTGTGCTCTCTCTCTGTGTCAGTGGCGTTGAGTACGTCGGTGTGTGCAGCAAAGACGGCCCCACCGACTTCGGCCCCATTATCGACAGGACGCGGCTGTACCTCAGGCACGACGCCACCCTCCGCCGCGCCCAGCCGATCTCCGTGGTGTATGCCATCATCGAATGGCTCACCATCAAGTTCAACGCTCAAGCCGAGGCAGACTGTCGGACCGAAGGCGGCAAAAGGAAACTGGTGAGACGGGAAATTGTGGCATGGACTCTCCACACTTCCTGTGCTTTCTCCTTAGGTGCGTGCGATCTTCCCGGACGATATATTCCGCTGCGGGGGTGTCTGCAAGGCCTGCAACGTCCACTGCGCGCTGAGCATGAACCACTTGGGCAAGCCACACGAGCCAGCCGACGCGTCCGCCCCGTGTCGGTACTCCGTTGTACTGGGCAACCGACAGCTGTACTGCCGCCAGTGCCTTGAGAACAGGGGCGAGGAGATATTGCTCTCACCACAGCAGGGTCCGTTGGTTGAGTGGGCGGGGCGCGGCGCACACAGAGAGGTAGAGGAAGGTTTTTGTCTGTAATGTTGTCGTCGTGTTTCTGCGTAGGTCCCAAGTCTCAGTGGGACTCATGGAATGCCCTCACGTACCTGCTGAGCGGCTATGTGCTCGAGTGCTTCAACTGCGGCGTCCTGTACAGGTGTGCACACGTGCACCACTCACACCCACACACCCACCCCACCCACACGCACACGCATTTACCCTGCTGTGTGTCTGTGTGTGTGTGTGTGGAGTTCAGATCTCGTCCCTTGCAGAAGGTGATAATGGGCATGCAGTGCCCCGACCCCGTCAAGGCAGGAATTGCCACTCCCAGGCTGCACCACGTGTGGTCGCGCGAAGAGGCCACCAAGGCGACCATGCTGGCTTTGGGCCATGGTGGTGGTGGTGTTGGTGCTGATGGAGGCGGGGAGGGTGTGCGTGGCGGCAAGAAGGCCACAGGGAAGCCGTACAGGTGGTGCAGCGGCGAGCCGTTTGGCTTGTCGCCACCACGGTCGAGGCGAAGGCGAAGGGACGGGGGGAGGGTGGTGTGATGGTTCGATGCTTCGATGCATGGGTGGGTGTGACTGATGCGACGAGGGACCTTCGTGTCTTGTTTTGATTACAGTTGTTATGGGTTTTGGGCTCTGTTGATGTCCTTGTGGCCCGTTATTCGTGTGGTGGACGTGTGTGGTGGTAAATGTCTGTCTCGAACGAAGTCTCAAATGAAAGCGGAAATGGTCAGAAATGGTCTTGTACGATCGTACAAGGCCGACACATCCATCTGTATAAAACGAGACACGCACACACACATACACGCACACAAAGAGACCGAGAGAAAGAGAAAGAAAGACGACGCTTATAACATCCGTCATGCATTCGTCCGTCGTGCGATGACAATCGTCACCAGACAGAAATACTAACACGTGTGTGCTGCAATCAGGCAACCCACCAGCACACACGTGTCGCTGGCCACCAAGGGACGCAGTTAGTTATTAAACAGAACCACACACGCACACACACACACCTGGATGGGTGTGTGTAAGTGTGTGTGTGTGAGCCTGCCCACGACCTCCATCAAGGAGGGCCAGCAATCAGTCACCGCACCAATGAAATGAGTGCACTCCGTCTCTCTCTCTCTCTTTGCCTTATCCAAGTCTGTAAGGAGTTATAAATTTCCGCGCCTTTGACGGAAACTGAGACGGGCACTCACACACGCACTCACGCAGGACGCACACACACACGCACAAACGGCACACAAATGCCCAAACAGACTGCACGTGACCCACGCCCTCGCTCACACAAAGCAAAAGACGAAGGCGGCACGACGGCCAGCAGTCGCATCACACCGCTCTGCTCTCATCGCCACGGAAAAACACAAACGAGAAGGAGCTCACTAAAAAGTGGGAAGCCATGAAGGAGTGAGTGTATGTGTCGTCTGTCTGTGTGTCTCTCTCTCTCTGCTGGACGGATGAATGTCCACCTCATGTAAGTAATCTGTTCGTGTCAGTCAGGTGTGGGAGCTACTGACGCCTGTCTGCCTCTTTGCCAGAAGGGCGGATGCAGGCCTGCAGGGCGGCCTCCTACTGACACCTGTTCTCTCCCACCCCGCTCTCTCACACACACACACACACTTTTGCCCCCTCAAGCATGTCTGCCTATATTATAAATGAGTAAATATCTGCTGGCTGGCTGGCTGGCCCGTTGACCCATCCGCCTGGCCCACACATGAATGAATGCAGCAAGGAAGGAACATGGAGCACGCAAATGAAGCACTGTATGAGACAGACGACGAGACGAATAAAAAAGGGGAAGGAAAAGGGAGAGAGATCGTTCGTTGACTGCTGGTGTGGTCTGGTGCTGCCAGGCCTGGACTCGCCCGTCATGGCAACAGATGCACGTGGTCGCGCGGCCTACAGCAAATGGGTGGAATGAACGAGGAGTGACTGACAACAAGCCCACGCACCTCCCTCTCCCTCTCACTGCAGAAAGCTCATCAGCCGACGCCAGGCGCCATTGCCTGGGTAGCGCCCGTTGTCCGGGTGGCGTCGTGGCACGGTGACTGCACACACACACACATTCACCATTCCATCAACACACAACGATGCGATCGCTTCGTCTGTGACTGGCATACAGGAGAGATAGAGGGGTTCGCCCTTCACTTCCTTCTCTCCCTCCCCGTTGATGGGCGTGGCCTTGAGAGTGTACATGCCGTCCTTCTGGTGGGTCCCAAGCAGCGGGATGGCGAAGGGCTCGAAGTAGTCGGGGACGTCTTTTCTGCATTCGCCGAAGATCTTGTTGCCGAACGCCGAGAAGGGCTCCTTGACCTCGATGTCGGCAGGGTGGCGCAGCGAGTCATAAACTATCTGCTCGCCTGTCGCACATACACACACACGTGCACAGAGAGAGGGAGGGAGAGAGACAGGGAGAGGGAAATTCCCTCTCTAGAAAAGTGGAGACAGGCGTACCTTTCATGTCAAACAGAAGGAATTCGACCTTAAAGACGCATATCTCCGGTATGACGATGAAGGAGAACGACGTGCCGACCTCGGCAGGCACCGTGGTGGCGGAGTTGTTGCTGAGCAGCTCGGGCGGCTCCTTCCCGAGGTCTTCGAAAGCCGGCTTGAGGAGGCAGTTGTGTTTATTGGGCTCGTCGACCAGCACCACCAGCTGGAAGGCACTTAGGACCGGCTTGACGCCTACCACGACGGAAGGCAGGGCACAGCACAGCATAGCACAGGGGATCATGCAGAATCGTTATCCACGTGTGCGGGTGTGTGTGTGCGTGTGGTTGTGCATCCTGTGTACCGTCACAGTCAGGCACGTCTGTCGGCTTGGGTGTGGCTGTCGGCTTGGGGGTCTCTGTCGGCTTGGGGGTCTCTGTCGGCTTGGGGGTCTCTGTCGGCTTGGGGGTGGCTGTCGGTTTGGTGTCTGTAGGTGGTTTGGTGGGGTCCTTTGGGACGAGCTTGTCGAGGTCGGTGATGTCGTCGAGGATGTCTTCTGTGATGTTTTTGGCCACGTCAATCACATCTGCATGCACAAAGGGCGGCCAGAAAGACATCCATGGGTGTGGGCCGGTCGGGGGTTGGTGGGGCTGACCTGTGGGGCCTTTGCCGTCGAGATAGTCGTAGACCTTATCGACGATGTCCACCTGACACAGTGATGGTGTACATGTTCACACAAACAAGACAGACAGACAGACAGACAGCAGATGGGCATGCAGCAAGTTGTTTGGTGGGGCGGCTGGGTTGGCTGGTGGTTGCGTGCGTACGGTAGTGATGTCCTTGTCGAGGTCGATCAGGTCCTTGATCAGATCATACACCTGCAGCACACAGACACACGCCATCCGTGGCGACATTCCTTTCTGTCTGTCTGTCTGTCTGCCTGAGTGCCCACCGTACCTCGTCTACGTCCAAGTGCACGAGGTCTTTGAGGTCTTCAAGGATGCGGTCGATCTTTGCGAGCACGTCGAGATCATCCACCGCGCCCTTGATGTCCTCCACCAGGTCCGTCATGTCAGCCACGATCTACACACAGAGAGGGAGAGGAGAAGGGAGAGGGAGGGAGAAACCGAATGCACTCCTCGCCCACACTCCGAGGTCTCTCGCACCTTGTCAAGGACAGCAATACCCCCACCGCCATTCCCGTCGTCTTTGTCGTCAGGCAGGTCGATGGTGTCCGTCACATTCTTGCCCCCGTCCTTGTAATCCAGAGGATCCTCGTCGATTGGCAGCTTGGGCAACACAATGATGTTCCCCGGCAGCTCGAGATTGTCCACAGTCACGGGCTTCTTCTGATCGGCAGGTCGGGTGCCCTCCCGACACGTTCCCATGGGGAACTCGGGCAGCAGCGGCTTGCAGTAGTAGCCACTGTCGCACTGCTCGTCATCGAGGCAGAGGCTCGCTATGTACCCGAAGACGTCTGACGTAGTCTTAGCATGGTCGACCACGACGTCCATAAGGTCCCTGGGCAGCTTGTGAAGGAACGAGGCCATGTGGCCCAAGGCCTCGTGCGCCCATCCATCCTCTGGCTGCAGCCGGTGTCCCTCCGACTCGCACAGGCCGAACTGCTCGCCCTGCGCCTCCAGGTAGAACTTGCACGATGCCTGAGGGTCAGCGCAGTTGCTGCACCACCACACACACACGCGTACACATCATCCCGGCATTCTCAGCTCATCTCAGGGCCGGCCTCAGCTTACTTGTCGACAAAGCAGAGTTCTGTCGGCCCGGCCCCTGCAAGCGCCAGGGCGCTGGCAAACACGGTCAACACACGCAGCATCGAAACACTGATGGGGGACAAGAAAAAAGGGGGAAGGGTTTTGAAATTCTCGTGTTTACAAAGCGTACGAAACACTTTGAACCGTCCGTTTTCCGGGGAATTCGAAGCACTGAGCCTTGGAGAATGGGTACTCCGCCAAAACGGTTGCAGACACTTGCCCCGATCATCCCCCTGCTTCCCAGAAATGACCCCCTGGACTTCTCAGGTTCGCCCACACAAGAACACACACACACAGAGAGCCCTCGCGACATGCGCCCCTCTCCTTCCACGTGTGCAGACAACGGGTACCGGCACCTGCAATATCTCGGTCGGGGCCAGTTCGGCTCCATCCATCTGGTGCAGGAGCTGTACCCCTCCCAAGAAGAGGACGCCGACAAGCTGTGGATCCTCAAGCAGACCGACCTCTCCGACCTCTCCCCGTCGGCCATTCAGATGACCATGTTCGAGGCCGAGGTCATGGGGCGGCTGGCGGCGCACCCCTATATCGCAACCATTCGGGAGAGCTTCTACCACCCGAGCAGCCACAGCTTCGTTATTGTCATGGAGTACTATGAGGGAGGGGACTTGTTCTCGGTCATCGAGGCGGCTGTGGCACAGGGGGACCGGTTCAGCGAAGAGCAGATACTCAAATGGTGAGTGCGTCAGTGCGTAGGAGACGACGAGAGAGAGAGGGGGGAGAGAGACGACCGCCGGTCGTGTGTTTGTGTGTGTGTGTGTGCGTGAGCGTAGGTTGGTTCAGCTGTCTCTGGCGTTGCGTGAGATCCACAGCAAGCACATCATTCATGGCGACCTCAAGCCGTAATACCATACCACATATGACGCCCTCTCCCCTCTCTCTCTCTCTCTGCCGTCTGCAGGTCCAACATCTTCCTCACGAGCGACGGCAATATCAAGGTCGGCGACTTCGGTATCGCAAGACAAGTCAACGAGGTGGGTGACTTCGCTCACTCCCCCGCCCCACACCCCCCACACCCCCTCC